AGCCGTCCAACTCCCACTGCTGGAAGCAAGTGGCTCAACTCCAGCTGTTGGGATCAACAGTTTCAGAGAAGGAAGTAATTATAAACTTCCTGCTCACCTTAACGTACTCCATTTCTTTGTAATCTGCCTTTCTTTGTAATCTGTCCAGTCAGAGTGGGATCTTTGGCTTTTCAATTTTGGTTTTAGGCACTTAAATTTCAGTAATTAATCTCCAGATTAATTTATGTTGTGAAGCAATGACCGACCACTTTGAACTGTATATGCTGATAGTGGCAACTAATAAACATAGTAATTTTCCTTATGTCCTCCTTGTGAGGTATGTAAGAGAACAAGTTCCTTTACTACTGAATTAGTGGGCATTTCCATTTGGTGATTTTGGTTATTTAAATCAGCACATGTGAACACTAGACAATAGTTCATAGAAATATGACCTATTTAGAAAAACATTTAGCATGTTGGAGCACAACTTTCTGGAGTTCAAACTCAAAATGATTAGTAGTCACTAGGTAAAAAGTGGGGCGTAAAAAGCGGGGGATCAAGGCACATTTCATATCTGCGTTACTTGGAGAAGATACTTCCAAAGAACTGAGAATACTTCCTAAGAAAGAATCTGAAGCAGTACTTCCTGCTTCAGATCCTATTTTCTGCTTCAGTAACAATATCATAATAATTCACTTTGATTAGAAGCCTTTCATGAAAAGAGAATTTACCCCTGACTTGTCCCAACAAGCCCTAATTCTAAAATTTCCCTTCTAATACCAATTACCTTCAATTAGAAAAATAATTATTTTCAGATTTTATACGATACCACCTATACGGAAAAGGTCAAGATCTCGATCTCATGACTTCAGAAAGATGAGCTGAGCTCAGTATCTAATGGAAAAAATAAAAGTATACCATGTATATTTATTTTTAGAGAGTAAAAACTTTTCAGTTCACATTTCAGAGCTTTTTTCCTCATCCAAAACAACAGGAGGAAATGAGAACTGCTCTCCTCAGCATTCTGCAAAAGCCAACAAAATAACAGCCATTAGAAGATGGACCAGTATCGCCAGAAACAGCTGTTTTGCAAGCCAAAAGATCAATGGGCTTAACAAATGAGAATGCCCTGCATGCTGGCATTTTCTTTATGCAATTCCCCACTGCTTTGAATTCAAATATAAAGACTGAAATCCTGTCTGTGGTGAACTGAATAGCACAAGGATTTGTCCCTAAGGAGAGGTTTTTAGATAGCATGCCGAAGAGGGCTTACTGTACAGAACAAAAGCTGTATATTTTGCCTTTTGGAGAAGGATGAAGAAATTTTGCATAGTAGGCTACCTAGGACCTGACTTGGATGTTCAATGGGAATTACATTTACTGTAATTGCATTCATTATCTATTGATTCTTCAGCACTGAGTTCAGTTCATGAACCCACTTTTCCCCCCTCTATATAATACCAAAAGACAATCCAAATAATCCTTTTTCTGTTTATGAAATCTTTTAGATTACAGCTTGCATATGAAAAAGCCATACATTGCAAATGGAAAAAGAACCATTTTGTATGTTCTCTTTGTCTTTCTTTTTACAAAGGAGCAGATCTACAGACCTTGCTCAAAGTCTGCATTTCTACTATATATTATTTAATGAAAATGAGATTTTTGAGCCCAGGGATAATTGCTTTATGTATTTTTGAGAGAGAAAAAGCCAAGAAAATTTAAGATGTTAAGGGCTAAGACTGAGTTTAAGAAGCTACTTAAACAGGTATTTAATGTAAAAGGCAGGAGTAATCCTCTCTCTTTTTTCTCTCTCTCTCTTTTTTTTTTCTTCCTTAACATATTTGGACCTTTTTTTTCTTTTTTCCAATCTGAAGAGTCTCATACAATCACCTGAGCATGGTCTGCAGCCAGGGCAGCCTGAATATTTAAAGACTTAGGAACACCTCTGAGTCAGGCATATAATTCAGAATATTTTCAAAGCAGAGCCTGCTACCATAAAGATTGCAGTGAATTTCCTTCAATATATAAAAATGGCTCTGAATTTGGGTCTGTACCCTGTGTTGGGACAACACAGGATAATGCTCTAATTAATGTACAAATACATTTGCAAGAGTTCCTTCCTCTCCCCCATATTCCTAATCCAAACAAACAAAAATAAAGACAAGTGTGATGTGCCATCAGATGCAATTTGTGATGGTATCCAATATGTGAGTGGCAGACTGGAACTAGGAATCAGCTCTTCCGCCCCCATCAAGTGCTCTATCCTCTGCACCAAATGATCCCTCGAATGATAAATGCTATGGCTAGGTTCAGCTGTCTTGAGAGAAAGCAAAATCATTGGTGCATTTACAGTAATGTTATCCCATTCCCACCTAACAACAAAACCCTTCTGTTTTTTTAGAAGTTTCAAATGCAAAGGTAAAGCTTTGCTCTAGGGCTACAACATGATGAAAGAGGAGACAGAAATCACAACTTGGAACCCAGAAGGAGATGGCTCACAAATAGGTCGAAAGAAATACATATGACTTGAGGCACAAGGAATGTTATTAAGCAGCAGTGCTATCTGAAGCTGTGAATTTTAGAGAGGTTGTGGTCTGCTTTGTCTAAAATGTTGTTTGGCATTCTTGTCTGAAGATTCAGCTATTGTGTTAGGTAATCCTTGAGTGTAATAGCAAGATTTAGGGAAAGGACAAAGTATGTTGACTAAATCTTTGAATTCTTTTGCCTTCAGAGAGTAGTATCAACCCTTAAATATTATTTGAGAATTGCTTCTGGTACTGACAAAGGTGGTCACAGTTCAGGATTAATCTGCTGCTATCCTGGCACACTGCTAGCACTTCAAAGCTATTTGGGTGTGTCTCTAAATGAAGCTGTTGTGAGCAGCAGGAGTTTTTAAAAGCAGGAGCTCTTTCTCCTGGCTTCCGTGGATGGAGATCTTGCTGGGCACACACAGAGGCTACAACTTCAAAAAAAATCAGTGCCTGATTCTGAACTCCTGGGAATAACTGCTGACTACGCTGGAGTTAAATAAGCAGGGGAACCACTGTTTGCTGAATACCTGTCAGCGCTGTTATCAGTACCATGTGAGTTAACTATAGCACATAGCTTACTGTGTTTACCAAGCACTACCAACTCAGCCAAGAAACCTTAACTAGAGAGCATGATCTGGTACAGTCTTCCAGTGCCAGTCAGTAACTCAGTACCAGTCTATGTGAGAAGGTAAATCTTCCCAGTCCAACAAGATTCACTCAGACCATCCTAGAAGATAAGCTCAACGCATTGAAACTGTTCAGCAAGAACTTGCTCTCTATCCAGTGATGATAGTTGCTCAGATTTCACAAAGCACATGCAAGTATATTTAAACTTAGCTGTACACTGGAATTTGTTTCTATTCATTAAATGTATATAAGGACAAAAGAACACACAGATAGCCTTAAATCAGCAAGTGAACCCCCCCACCTAAAAAGTAAAAAACATAACAGAGTCCTAGAACTAATTTGGCTTTTCCCCAGTGGCAAGATTTTTTTCCCTATATGATCTGATGCTTAATTTATCTCACACACATTCAGTATTAAGTTCAAACAAGGTTTTGCATAGAAATTCCTATAACCTTTTCAGGTTTTGCATCCTTAAACCAACTGTTGCTATGATGGGCCGTTTTTCAGATTAGACACAGTTTCCTATGCTGTTGGCACTATATACCTTATATGCAGCTACAGCATGCAATATGGAGCATCTTACCTATACCTTGCCTGTCTAGCATAATTCATGCAACTGAGTCCATGAGCTTGGAGCAAACAAGCAAAGCTTATGCAAATACTTAAAATAAAGCATGAGCTCAAGTACTCTACTAAGTCAGGGACTTTTTCAGGAATGATAAATGTGAAAAACAAGGAAAAGGAAGCAACTCCTTGTGGATTGAAGACATAAGAAAACACTTCTTGAACTTCGGGCAAAGTATTTGCATACGTTACAGTGGCCTTTGCATTGTGAAGATTAATACTTTTCTAATGCACATTAGTGGTCATAAAGGAAATGCATAGGAACATGCCTTTAAGATAAATACAACATGTGGTCTTACAAAGGTTAACTTATTTGCAATTAAATCCTATTTCTGAGTCCAACTTTCAAAATAATGTCTGCGCTGAACCCTACTTACAAACTTTACAACAGAAAAGACAGGTGTCTGAAATCAGAACTCTGATTTGTGAAGACACCCTTCTACCTTGTGTAAGTGGCAGCATAATTAAAGCCCTGACAAACACATAAACCCATGATGGTGAAAAAGGATGAATTCTGCAGTAAGATACAAATGATTTCAAAACAACACATGAAGAGACTATAGACATTCAGCGGATATGACAAACCCCATCAGTGTAGCTAAGGCAAATTATTACTAACAGCCACCAACTGCTAATTCAGCTGAAGACCACAGTTGGAGGTACCAGGGTGACAAATTCAAGTCAGACATTTTAGTGGAGCTGGGAATCTGGGCTCAAATCATCTGATAAGTAAAACAGCAAGTACATATGTGCCAACAGTGCGCAGCATTCCAACAGAATCTAGTGCATCTTGGGGCCATCCATATGCTCCACCATATGTCCATGAGAAGAGAGGTCCAGAATCACTCTCTGAAAAGGGCTGGCTCTCAAGATACCAGCCAGGATCCCAATTTTGCTTTATTAATTGGTGTGTAAGCACCTGTATTCCCTCCAACAGACTACTGATTTTAGCTCAGAGGGAAAACATGGAACATAACCCTTTGCTGATTCAGAACCTGACTCCCATAGGGCAAGTTCTACTAGGGAAGAAAAGGCTGCTCTGGGCTGCATTTCTTCAGAGTCAATTCAACCTCTGAGCATTAACCACAAAGAAGCTGCAGCAACAAAGATGTTACCATGTAAAACAGCAATGCTAATGAGCACCTAGACAGGTGGCTTTATTTTGCCTTCTGTTCTGCTCTTCACTTACATTTTTCTCGGGGTGATTAGTTGCAGTCTATTTTCACATTTTAGTCCTACCTTATCACTATCCACTGTGTTCTGTGATGTCCTGGATGCAATGGAAATGGTGTCAGGTTGACTGCTGCCATCTCCTTGGCTATCTGCATCATCTACTCCATCTCTGCACAAGACATAATAGGGAAACAACGATGCTTAGTTAACATACCACCTTGGAATATGCACAACTTTATAAGTGGATTTGAGAAGTGCTGAGTCAGTGTGCCAGAGCTGGCTTTGTTCTAAAATTACCTCACTGATGCAGCCCATGCTGCTATGTAGCTTGCAATTTAAAATGATGTCAACCTCAGCTATAGGGTTTGGATTAGCACATAATAACAATGTTTGCTGCTGAAAACAGGATGGCCATTGCCTGCATGTTTACAGCAAAGACAACTGTGGTGTTCATAAATAGCTCTCTAATGAGGGTGTCAGGCAAAAATTTTCCTTCAGTTAGATTTCTGCCTTAACCTAAACTATTCAGCCCAGGCTACATATGGCACTGAAGAAAGGGATATTTCTCTTGTCTCACAGGAACATCTTCAGGAATTTAATACTGAGCCATAAAAATTATATCCAAACAAACATAAATAAAGACAGTATAGAGCTCAGAACCCTAACTCCATGAGTCTGCTAACAGAGCGTATTTTCTTCCTTTTTGCTGTATAGATACAATCCTCCTAAATTTTTACTGATCTTTCAAAAGAAACTTTTAAATAATATAAAATACATATTTAAGGAAAAGAAAAAGATAAGTAAGATCTCCATTCTCTACTAGAAAACTCTTGTATTGGTGCATGTCTCCAGGAAGAAATGTTTGGATCTCTGCCTTGCTACAAGTCTCCTGGGTGACCTTGGTGACTCATGCTTTGGATGCCTCTATAATACAGCCTGAAGCAAGAGTAATAAAACTTGATGAGGAAATGGAGATGTTCAAATTGTAGGTGGCTTTTGGGAATACCAGCATAACAGCAAAAGAACAATTAATTTTCTACAATTCTTATTTAATTCAGGATTCAAAAGAGTTGGCAAAAAAATTAATATTACCTCGCAGGCTGAAATGAATTTGCATTTGATGATGAAACATCAATTCTCCACTGCAGTGATATATTGTTATGACCAGCTGCGATTTTCACTGTCAAACAATTCAAAATGCCAAACAAGGGGAAAAAAAAATAAAAAAAAAATCCCCTAACACTCAAGGACGAAGAATTAAATTTTACTTCGGGAAAGAAACATAACCTTGGAGTCTGAGGAATTTTTATCATTCATGTCTCTCTAACACTTTGAATTACTAAAATAAAACACCATTGTATGTATATCATAGAAAATCTTTCTAGCTACTTTTGCCAAGACAACATGTAAAAAGCAAACACGATGAAAACTGCTTTTGACAATAGTAAGTGAATCCAGTAAAAAGCCCACAGACACTACACTGCTGTTGGTTGAGAAAAACCTTGTGATTTCATGTGGTACAGAATGACTGAGATTACCTTCTACTGTTGTTCCGCTGCTTTGCTGGTGTCTTGGGGAGCTGAATTGGCTCTTTCAGAGCTCCTTTCAGATGGATAATCCTTTCTTGAATGACTTCCCGTATGTTTTTGATCCATTCCTGTTTTGTTTCAATACTGGATGCCTAAAATTCCACAAGGCAGAAAGATGGAGACTTTATAATATTCCCAGGATGTCACCTCCTATGTAGAAGAATCATGGCTGGCTGTTGAAAATGCACAATTAACTGTTTCTCCTCTCTGCTGCACAGTTTTAGCTGCTGAAGTACCTGGTAACCCCTTGAGAATTGAGGGTATTTTTACCAGACCTACTTGGCAGGCAGCAGCAAAGCAGCTAAGCTCTGGATAAATACCTTTAATACCAGCAATACAGCACACTCTGTAGAGGGGAAATAGGTTATCAGACAACATAACTGTAACACAAATTCTTCGTTAGAAACTCACTTGACAGAAATGGCTGTCAGCTCTGGAGGTTTGACCATCGATAAGCCTAGTAGCAAAGGACTAAGAGTATTACACCTTCCAGACACCCTGAGACATGCCCTGTGTCAGTGTGCAGCTGCTCAACCCAGGCTGCAAGAAGAAACTAATTTCAGCAAGGCTGCACAACTGTACTATCCTGATTCATATTGAGGCCTTAGAGCTGAATTGCTCTTGATGCAGGCATGACCCTACTGACAGACATGGAAGCTATATGAATACTGCGAGGGAAGAAACTGACATTTAATTTAGTGCTCCCAGGGTCTCAACTAGAAGCTCTACAGTCAAAGAAAACAAGGAGAAAAGACTTACTTTCAGCACTGTTTTATTGTCTGAGGATGGTGTTCGTCCAGACCACAAAGCAAATTTACAGGGATCTCCTTCAACATGTTCAGTCACTCCCAGTTCTGAGGTCTAGTATGGAGGAGAGATGATGAGAGATTACCTGTATATGAAATCTCATGAGTCTAGAAAAGTTTACATTTGTAGTGAGAAGTGGAGAGGCAGAGGTGGACAGGGAAGTTAGATCTTGTCTCTGATTTGCTACACACAGAAAAAAGAACCAGAAAACCACCAGGGGATGGCAGGGAAATGAATGGGTTGAGTGACTGTCCTTGTATTTCCCACTGACCCTTTACATCTCACTGTCTTAAATCTCTCCAGACTCACTACAAGCTTAGCTTCCAGGTGAGCCCCACAGGGTCCAGAGCCAGTCCTTCCAGGTGGTATGGGTATCCCCAACCCAGCATGGGGACATATGAGCCATCCCCCAAACTCAGCCTCTACCTACAAGAAACACAACACCCAGAACATTTTCTTTGCAGCCACACCTACCAGTAACTTGTTCTTGTAAACATATTTTGTGTGTCCTGAAGAATCTTTGATCTCTTTGCTAAACACCAAAGAGATTTCAAAGAGAAACAAATGCCTCTCACGGCCCTTCCGAATGAGAGACTTGGGATCCCACACTTGGAAGGAATCCTGAAGAATCAGCTCTCCCTGGACATCCAGGTTCTCATCAAACCCTGAAAACATAAAACACATTAGCTTGTATTTGTTCTTGGGACCAGTAATGCCCAGAAACATCAGAGCAGTAAGGACTTGAAATAAAAGGGTCTTTCCCTTTTTTTTTTTTTTTTAATGCATATTCTGAAAGGATACTAATGGGCAACCATTACCCCAATGAAAATATTTTTCTTCTTTTTCCTGCTGCAATGATGTATTTATTTCACTAAAGGCAAATAAATCATATGTGCTAAATGAGACTGCAGCTAAAGTGTAGTAGTAATTACTTAAAGATAAACATTCTAAGGATTTCAGTGCTGGTTACTGTACACAGAACTGCAATGCAAAAGATCTTCTGCATGTTAATACAAATTCAGATAAATGCAACATGCAGTGGCTGGAAGTGCCCCCTCATACCATGATGCCTTCAAGCATGCTAACCCAAACTTCAGGGGGCTGTGAGTCCACAGCAGTGCCATGGGGGAGCTACATCTGAGAGCAAATTGGTATGGTGTCTGAAACAAGCTTTCCAGGAGTTACTCATTTTCCAAGCTGCATGTCGAAAACCTTCACATGGCTGAGGATCACAGGACTACCTCCACATAACTGGAATGCTTGAGGGAAAAGGAAGTCCCTAGTGCAAAGTGCCCTCCAAGCTACTGTCTCAGCTGCTTGTGGGGTCACACTTCCCTTCAGAGGTGGGCACTGCTCCTTCACCAGCACAGCCCACCGTTGCTCATGCCAAATAGCCCTGAGAGATCAGCAAAGAGCCCTGGTCCCTGCTCCAAATATTCAGGAATTATGTTTTATTCAGAAGACAACTGTCTGCCTACCCTAACAAAGTCGTCCCTGCTTCTTCTTATTCCATGGTGCTGTTCTTCTCATGGGGACAGATTATCTAGGCATTACTTTAGGAAACCTGGCTCTTCACCAGACACCACAGTTAAAAACATCTTTATAGCGTTCCTGCCTATGCTGGGTCAGTTTGCCCCTGAAATTTTAACCACTTGGTCTTAAAATGCTGCTTAGCTACTGGCACCATTTCTTTTTTCTTGACTGTTTTAATATTCTGCTTGTTTCCTGGTTCTGACTCAAGCCAGGATGGAAATGATTTTCCCAGGCCAAGAAAATGCTTGCGAGGCAATAAAGCATCTCTGCCTGTAATAAAATTTTTAAATTTTAGAAATACTCCACACGTCTAAAATCCACCAAAGACTTAATTTTGAGGCAATCAAAATATTTTCTATCATTTGGAAATACTTTTTAATAATACTTTTTGCCTTTCTTTTTTTTTACTCTTGGGAATAATTATACTAACATTTTCAAACACAAGTTGTTTTGACTCAGAAAATCAGAACTTTTCCCTTTGAAATATTGAGACAGTATTTAGAAGTGTTTTCATCCAATAATCATTACAGATGCCAGCAGCTAAACTGATACTGTTTCATGAGGGGGTTTTTTGTTTCATTAAGTAAGAATGTCTTAACCAAATATATACATACACTGTATATGTAGACATACTCACGTGAATGCACATATACATACACAAATATAAATACATACATACATGCACACAAGATATAAATAAATACCCAAGATTTCCTAGCCAGCTTTATTCTTCCCAGACTTTTGGAGAAATATCAGAAATGAGCTAGGAAGAACCTGAGAATTATGATCAAACAACAGTATTGCTACAGTCAGCCTGTACTAACTTTCTACACAAGAGGCTTCATTTATTGGCGGTCCCTCCCCTGCCCTGGCCACCTGCCCATCTGCTACCTTCCAGCATGCTGACGTGCATTGCGTCGTTGGCCTTCTTTGGGACACTGAGCATCACCTCCAGACCATCTTTGAGTTCCCCTTTGCCCTCCTCGCAGCAGGTCAGCAGTTCCTAAGAAGCAATGAACACCTATGAACAAACTGTTCAACATACCGGCTTGATATCTGAATGTGTTACTTGGTACATGCAACTGCTTTGCTAACAGTGACAGGAGAAAGCTGAACTGCATCAAAATCCACTGTGGATACTCACAGATAGTGGGGATTAAATGGGAATGACTATAAAATATGACAAAACAAGGTGCTCTCAAGTGAGACTGTGCACTCAGATTCCTGGGGACTTATGTCTATGCTGCAGTCATCAGTCAGTACAGCTGTGTCAGGCAGCTTGCAGGACCCCTGCCTGATCCTGCAGTTCTCATGAGTACTGCAAGGCTGGCAGTGTGCTGTGCTCAGGGCAGGGAGATCCCTTCAGGAAAGATTCACCTGAGGATGAAACCAAAGGGGTGATGACTGAATGGGTGGTTTAGCCTTCCCATTAGCAGATGGTTTGTGCAGTTGCAGGCTTGCTGTTCCACAGTGCTCACTAGACTATAATATACCTGTGTGCTGCTTCAGTAAACTGGTACAAAGCACAAATTTGTGAACATATTAAATGTACTCAGTAAAGTACCTTCCTAGTACAATACATCAGTCCTTTGGTGTATACACAGGCAGATTTAAAAAGATGCAAGCATCCTATCTCGTCCTAGCTTTTCAAAGTCAGATTCTGTCTCTTCCCTTACCTCCCAGATGCTTTTTCTTCTAAGTTAGATCTAAAGTTCACCTACTCACAAACACTGCAGAAACCTTTAACCAACTTACGACAAACCAACAAAGATGTGAAATGTTAATGTTTCACTTAGAAGTCCTTGCTTTGTATATGAAGCTTTTCCCTGTTTTTCAAAGGCAAACATTTTAGCTCCCAAATAGAATCTAATGCAAACGAAGGAGTCTCGGTCACATTTCAGTGAAATTTCCCAAAGTTCTATCACTGAAGTGTTTAATCAAAACATTACATATCATAAACTTTAGCAAGAAGGAAAGTAAACAGTCCTGTCTTCCTTTCAAATTTCCCTTTCTCGGTTCCCACTTTTTAGGTTTAAGTACACTTGGATAAAAAAAAACAAACCAAACCAAACCAAAAACATCCTGAACACAACCCTCCTCCAAATAAACACTTGAAACAGGTGATCAGTTTTTTACTGTTTGCTTTTTTCTTTCTGTGAGTCTTTTCCTTTAAAATACCCAAATACCCAGTCTGATTTCACACTTTGTTGCTATGCTCAGGTGTGGAAAGTAGGAGCAGCAGCTCAGCAGCAGCTGCTAACAGGTCATGAACAGGTGATGAAACAGCTCCCTTAAGAATAGGTTAATTCATTACACCCATGAACTGCTGCGCATGTTCATGCAGAGCATGAACTGATTTGGGCAGCTCACTATGGTACCTTCAGTAGGAGTTGATATTTTGTGATCCTCTGGACAGGTTTGATTAAGTAAGAGGAGATAGAGTTGGCCAGACCATGTCTTTGCTGAATTTCCTAGAAGAGATAAAAACAGCAGTCAGTCATGGAAAACTATTAAATTGCTGCCAGACAGACCCACCCATAACTAATTTTAGCTCTGGATCTCTGGCTTTGTTTAGTTTTTTAACTCTCTTTAAGCTCAGATGCAAATAACTGTGGTTTCAAAGAGGCTGGCAATAAACTGCAGAGTCCTCCTAAGGCTGCTTAAACTGCAGGGGCCTTGTGCAAGTCAAGCTAAGGCTATGTTGAGTAAACTACACAGGCTTCAATTTAAATATGACTTATCTTTCATGTCAACTGGTTTCTCTTAGCTATGAAGGCTGAAAGCAGAGTCTTAACATCCAATTAAAATGGAGTGACATTAAATTAAATTGCATGCGTAGGGTGCAATTTAGCTGTCTAAACAGTGTCTAATACCATTTGAGAACCCTGGGGTAGCTGAAATATCCACATGCAAGTAACAGGTCTGACACAGTGATGACAGATCTATGGTATTCTGAGGTGGCACCTGGGGCCCAGGAGAGATACCCTTCTGACACCTTTTACAGCACTGAATGCTTCTGTTTTGTCACCTGAATCTCAACCAAAATGTCTGTGCTGATCAGTGTGGTGTGTTCGTGAACTTCTGGAGACAGTGCAAATAGGCATCTGGTGAGGTCTGCAAAGGGCCCTGCTGCCTCCCTCCTGCTGGTTCCAGTGGGAGTCAGGAGCTCCTGAAAATCCTACAGGACCCTAAACTGAATATTTAGCCTTCTAGAAGGCTTCAAACTTAAGCCCTACAGGGGCAGATTCTCTGCTGAAATAGAAGAGGTTGTAATTCCTTCTGTCTTCACCAGGGCATGCCTACCCTTGCTCCTGGACCTCAAAAAATCCTTGGTTCCTACCGGAGCAGATGGGGAAGAGCAACGGCACTTATCTCCAGCTACTGGAGGGTAAATTTGGAGCTGTAAAGAAGTCACAGAAGACGAAGGTCGAGGAGCTGCCAAGAATAGAGATTCTCTTTTTGTATACAGTCTGATTTTCTGCTGAGTACTGGGGAGGTTACTGGGTTTTTTTAGCTCCAGTGTTTATGGTTGGATATAAAAATAGCCACTTTTCACACAGTGTGCCAACAAATACATACTTTTTTGTACTAGGTAAGTTTGTCTTAGAAAAAAAGATAACACTGGTGCCACAAAAAAGACCCAAAAGAGAAGTGGCTCCATGTGTGGGTTAATGGAATTTGCATGAAGCTGAGTCATGGCTGGCACCAAACAGGGACACTGCCTGCAGAGCACGGCTTGGGACTCTATTAGTAACTGCAGGAGCCAGCAAGCCCTCGGCCATGTCTGTGAACTTCCTGGAGCTAAGTACAATTGTTTTTGCAGGATCCAAATAATGAATTTAGCTCTCTTCCTTCCTCTCGGCTCTCTCAATAGCAAGACATGCTCCCAGCAAAATACCACCCCTTCAGGCATTCCTTGCTCTGCCAGGATGCTCCCTGGTCATACTGTGCAGAGACAGAGTGTTGGCGGAGTGACCTGCAGCAGGAAGGCAATAAGTACATTGCTGGCAAGCGACATTCTCCCTGCAGCTTTTCCCTCTGGTCCCTCAAGTGTTGGAGTAAGATGGCAGACTGCTGGAGCATGTGTTGGGTTGAATTTGTAACATCTGGAGATGTCTGGATGTAATGCGGGTGGAGATGGAAAATGGAGAGGTCTGTGCAGGGCAGAGCTCAGTAGTGCAGGCATTTCTCACACACCTCTAAGTAACATGAAGCACAGATATCTCTGAGCTATCTTTGAAGCAGCTTGCAGATTTCAGAAGCAGGCTAGCCACAGGGCTCTGTGCTTTCTGCTTTGCCCAGCTTCTTGTTTAAAGCAAGCTTCATTCACATTATAGTTGCACCATGGCGCATTATTAGACCCAAGTTATTTCTTGGGTGGAAAAGTGTTCCAAGGCCTAGAAGACATGAAGGTATCTGACAAGGCAACATGTGCTGCAGTTGTGTATTGCAAACTAGGTGAGCTGCAGAACAGGATCAATGTGTAATCTTACATTCAGTGACAGAATCCCAAACACCAAGAATGTCCTCTGCACAGGGCAGCACAGGACCCTCAGAGGACCTTGAATGGACAACATGGAGACAGGAACACTTAAATACAATTTCGTACCATAAGAACTGCTGAGTTTGCCATGAAACAATGATAAAGTGCCCAGATTTTGTATTAAATGTCTAAAGAGATTCACAAATTAAGGTAAGTCATCTAATAGTGTACAATTGTTTAGTTGGAGAACAAACTGCATCCTGAACTGTGTATACAGACCAATGGCTTGCTGAGTAGTCTGATTCAGCACTAAAGCTCTCACAAAACATTTAGGTTTTGTAATGCATGACACGAATGGTTGGTGAGCAATTTCAGAAAAAAATATTTCTGCTTGTGCCTCTCCCCATTTCCTAAGGGACACTCCAGCTCAGCGGAGAAAATGTCTAAGAAACATCATCCATGCAGAAAGACAATAATCTGCAATGCTACAAAAGTCAATGAGCTTTTACCATGTCCCATGCTGGCGTGCAAGTTAAAGGTGCCCTGAGGCTTCCTGAATATAACAACTGATTTAAAGAAAATAAATATTCACAATAGAAGCAGCATGTAGATAACTGAAACAAACCTTGCCTTTGTCCTTAGGACAAAAGCTCATTTAAATAACAGACAATAAAATCAACATGATCACCTCAATAATATTTTGATTTCCACCAGCTGAAGCTGAGGGCCAACACATGTTGGCAATCAAAAATACATCTTACTAGCCTGAAGTATATGATATTACAAATATTAAAGATTGCTAAATATGGTAGGCATCATTTATCTTTGAAACATAGTAATACTCTCAGATGCTGAACAAGAAAGATATAAAAGAACTTGATTTGTAAGTCTACTGCAGTCAGTTAAGAGTAAGCATAGTAGTTTCATTCCCTATGCAAATTCCAGCTAATATAACCATACCCATAACTGATGAATTTTATAAACAAAGCATGATCTGTAGGGAGGGAAGATGATACTCTTTATCCTTCATTAGACTAATGCTATAGGATAAACCAGACAGTTTTCATAATTGAGAGTTTGTGCATAATTTTCCATCTGTATTAACTGGTCTAAGAAGAGAAACTGCTTTTCCCTACATATATGGCTTCACTTCTGCTCTTAGAACATCCCAGCAATGACAGCGCTGTTACTAATTCTTTTCATAGTTTCGTACAACATGTCACTTATCTTTGCTCCTCCTAATCAGCTAACCCTTTCAATGAGCCCTGAAGCTGCAAACTCTCCATGGGTTTGAAGGGTTCAAACAGATTACTGGGACTTGGGACTTCTTGTTTTCATCCCAAAGATGGCTTTCTATGGTTTATCCAATTTGAGGAGTTGTAAACTTCTGATCTTCAGGCAGGCTTCTTATCAAGGGGTGTTATTCTAGATAACTCACTCTCACCAGTAGGGTGTTTTGCGAAATTCCATGTTCTGCCTGGAAGGAAAGAACCAGCTATTTCTCTGTGTTCCTTAGGCCAGACTGTTTCCTGTCCTGCCACTGAACCACTGCCAGTCCAAGACCAAGGTGAGAAGGATCTACAGGTACTTTGCACTACCTTAGAAGATTTTTCTGGGGGGAGGATACGCAGCTTTCTTTTTGCACAGGCATCACTGGATAGCACAGCAGAATTCCTACTAATGGAAGGAAAACATCTCCTCTTGCAAAACAGATGTCAGATACTAAAACTTGAATATTCACTATTAAGCAACAGGTTTCCATCCCATATATAGACCTGGAGTGGAAAAGCTTAGCAGAGGAAACACTTTTAACCTTTGCAAACAACACTGATAGACACCTAAGGAGGCTCACACCCTCCAGGCGTCACTAGCCAGGATAAACCAATCAACAGGCTCAAGCGCCACCTCCTGGAAAATCCATTCAATTCAATTCAATTCAATTCAATTCAATTCAATTCAATTCAATTCAATTCAATTCAATTCCACTTGCAGACCATATAGTAACAAAGCAAAAGAAAAGTTCATCGTTTTTCATCTGGCTCATGCGAGATCTTTCAGTGTTGAGTTTAACTGAAATGCCATAACTATTGCCACATAGGAAACCCAGAGGAGCTGATTCACGTCAGCTGCCAACCACATCACAGGTTGAATCCTGCCGAGTGGTTACATTCGTAAGGTGATTTTCAGCGCTTTGGAAAAGAGGTCTTGGCTTTTTTTTTTTACTTTTTTTTTTTTTTTTTACTTTTTTTTCAGAAAGGCAACCAATTAAAGCTATACAGTAGCAGTCAAGCACGGGAAAATGGATAAAGTTCCAAAAATCAGAGGGAAAGCTTAGTTTAAAAGTACTCAAAAACTTTAAAGATTTTTCTCAGCCTACAAAACTGGGGTTGGAGCCTGCAAATGTTTATCACCTGATGTAGTGCTTGTAAGGGAAATAGTCTAACTGCAGTCAGTGAAGCTCCTTACTAGCATGACGAAGTAAACGGGGTGGGTAAAATCTGCAGAACAGGAGGGAAGGATCTTGTTTTGGGCTAAGGGATTTGAAGTGAGAAAATATAATAGGATCTGCTTTTCATTCCACCACTAAACTCCGAAGCAGAGGGTACATCTAAACCAGATTTTTAGAAAGGATTTGGTCTAAAAAATGCACAAAGGTTCCCATAAGAATGTGTATCTCTCTATTAAAAATGACTTGCCACGCTGATGAAGATCACACATCATACCACAGCCTACCAGTTTTCACAGCATGCAAAATCTGCAGTGGAATGAAATACCCAAACCCCAAAGCAAAAAAAAGAATCCGTTGCTCAGATGTAAAGAGGAAGTATTTCAGCTGCCCTGTGCACACTGAATGAAAATGGCAGTGGCTGCTTACATCAAAGAAAGTCCCTGCATGTTCCAGGATGAGCTGGTTGGAGTCAGGCTTGTTTTTGCAGTAGGTGACATACATCTGAAATTTATCTGCCTGTGAAAACAAACATCAAGGGAAAAGCAAGATAAGCTATTTTTCTGCTCCCACAGTCTTTCATTAAGGCTCACCAGGACAAATACAGGTGATAAACCTTACCCTCAAAGAGACATAAGATTTGTAAATTAAGAACAGATGACTTACAGCCAGTTCTTACCTTACCTGAGCAGTTCTGAAGAGAGGTGCACCATGTAACACCTATGGGAGGCTTTCTTTACAAATGATACAAAGGGAAGGTCAAAAAAAGTTAAACCAGATATAAAATAATTTCTAAGAGCTCTAATTACATGGACTGTATCCAGAAGTTTGCAGGTCTCAAAATCCAGTCATGAGTGTTGGCTCTATCACTTGCTTGACAATAAAGCCAGTATAAAAACTGGGCAAGAGACTCGATAATCTTAAATTGGACTGAGTCAACATTTTTGGCTTAAGACTGGCTCAGATTTGTGATGCCTGGGCCAGACTTGCCTTCCCTATCTTGGTTCAGACTTTAATGGCACAAACTTTATGTTGTGCTAGGAGTGTTTTGCATTTAATTTCCTAATTTATTTATTTTTAAAGGGAAATTAAGAGCATCTGTGCACTCCTGCCTTACTGCAGTTTTGCATTTTTGAACTTTGGTCTCAAAAGACACAGGGAAACAGAAGAGGAGGATAGCTTTCTTTTATGACTATTGCATTTTTTATACCAGGTATCTAAATAACAGGACAATTGGGCAGGCAGCTTTTTATGTATATCTGTAACCATGCACACAGGTCTGGACATGAACTATTAGTGAGATGTTGTGGTAGTGTCTTAAAAGTACCATGAAGATTTTACACAGAATGATACATAAAATGTGTTCCTCTTTCATAAATATTTAATGTCTTCTTTGTAAAAAACACTTCTGAATCCGTTTCACCAATATTTGTGTCATGTTTTTAAATTAAAAGCCCATTTTGAAATCACCCAAACATGCTCATTTTTTTTTATAAGTGACAATTTCTGTAATGACTTTTAAAATACTAATTCCCGGCTTTGAAATACGAATAAAACCAGAGGAGAAAACATGAAGATGGCTGATTTGCTTGGTAAATATTTTCAAAAGAGACCAGCTTTCATACAGATAAATTACTGTAGCAAATTCCCGGAGCCTCCTACACCCATGAAGACTCTTAGCATCAACATTTCAAAGTCCAGTTGGAAATTACTCTGGCATTGGGTAATAGAATGAGAGAGCACAGTGGCTCAGCATTTGACAGTAATTTATGATGGAAAATGTTGATAAAATATGTTGTTCACGTCTTTGTAGAGTCCTCATGGCACAACTATAATTCTGTAAGGAAGGCATATTAAAATTTGAAAGGTCTGTTCCCCCAGGACCCTTCACAAAGAAGATCATACCTAAATACAGGTTTGGTTTAACAATATACTATTAAACAGGAACCAGCAGAGGTAAAAGCTGTGCTAGTCAGTGCAGGACAAGGAGAGAGGCTTTAGAAAGCATTCACTCCACTGCTTAGGAACAGAGTTAAGGGAGGGGACCTTTCATGGTGAGAGGTGAGGGACAAAGCAGTCATTCCAGATTAGCTCCTAACCTCACTTATCACTAAGGATATAACCCTTGCTCCAATTCCTAGCTTGTTTCCCTCTGTGATGGAGGAATTAATTTGCATAAATAATGAAAAGAAGCCTCATTACCCAGGTGACGAAGCAGTGGCCCACATCCTCAGGCAGTTGTTCGTATTTTTCTAGTTCTTTTAGAAAAATGCTGAAAAAAGAAGACACCAAAATAATTAGTTACAGCAAATACCCAGGAGAAGCAGAATGACCAATGAGTTAACCAGTGCTAATGATCAATACTTGTATCTTGATTACAAGACTAATCAAGTGTCCTGCCTGTGGAAAAAGTGTCTCCTTGCCAAGGTATGCTTTGATTTTTGAGCGCAGTCAGCCCAACTCCACCAGAAAGAAAAAGGTAACAATCCCTAATAGCAGGTCAGTGACCAGATCACGAATCTTTAAAAAGATGTTGTTCAGTGGTTCAGAGGAAGAGCAAAAATTAAAGCCCAAAGGTGTCAGCTTTTCACCACCAAACTTGGCACACTGGACAAAGGATAACAAACAAGACTGATACTTCATAGGTGAGTAGTATACTCCCAAAATACAGATTTTGTAATCAACTCTCTCCTAACACCTTGTACAATGAGTGACATCTCTGTTTGCAGCAGAAGCCCTATACAATGCCTGGGTGGAAAAAGGAGCGTGAAACAGAAGTTGCTGAAGGAAAAGCAACTGCATGCTCCAGCCCCAAATCAGGCTGGGGTATGGGTTAACATCACCAGCCAAAGAAGATTGTGGAGGATGCTGGTGGAAGTGAAGAGAGGGCAATTCTTGCGGTCTGGAAGTTCATTCATCTGTTACTTAAAGGCCTTTTTAATGTAGTATGCAATTTGAACATATTATCCTGATACTCTTTGAAGCTGCTTGCACAAAAGCATGCATATGGCAGCCTCTCCTGGACAGTGTTTTGGATGGTGCATTTATCTGGCTAAAACACTCAAAGTCTCCCAGAACTTCAACAAGGAAGGGTTTTCTAGTTTGTTTTTTCAAACTGCTTTGGTTTTGACGTGTAACTTGAAGACAGACTGAAATTCAGACTGAACTTGTGGGATTCATCGCCCCTAAATGTTAAGTTTATAATGGCTATTGCATTCACATTATAGCAGGGAAAAAATGCCCTCTAAGCTGATCCGATTGTCTTATCTTCATAAAATGGAGTGCGGTTAGTTACAGATTAAATACATAGAGTCTCCAGGTTGCAGAAAAGCTACTTATTAACCCAGCTCATGTCAACCATCACTCCTGCCCCATGTTTTTCAAGAGTTCATATTTTTCACAGGCAAGCTTCCAGACTAGATTTTGTGCTGTGAGATGGAAAGCATGTATAGGACTACAAAACATAGGTATAACAGGACTTTAATATTGTTAATCAGCTGTAGAAAACTTTTTAAATAAGTTGCAATTCATTTTTGTAAAAGAAAATGAAACGTTATTTTGCAAATCTAGATCAATTACTTTACACTCTTGTGTGCATTGTTCTGTAGATGTTCACCGCAGACACCATATGGTTGTACAGGTATACACATGCCTTTGGTTTCCTTAGTCAGTAAACATTAACAGAACTGTCAGGAAAACCTACTTGTTATGAAAGTCATATATCTCCTGAATATTGCCAAAGATGATGTGTTCTTTATTAAGGATCCCAGCAGGTATTTCTTCCACTCCACTTGTCATTTCCCAGAGGTAAGTCTGGAAGACACCAGCAATTCTTAACTTTGTGAATAAATGCAATGAAAAAGAATAGATCTCCCTGTTCTATTGCTAAAGGCACAGGCTGACAAGGGAAATACGTACTTTGAGATTAAACAAACAAGCCAAAAAAAAAAAATAATTAAATGTTCCAGTGTCGCAGAAAGCTCTCCAGAGAAATCCAAAGCGATGACACTTAGAAGCTGTCTAAGGAAAAACATGCCAACAACACCTGTCTTTGCTGTCCAACTGATGGTATCCAAAAACTGCAGGCAGAAACAGTGGCAAGATAAGCTGTACTTGCCACTTCAGTAGCATTAGACACATGAAAATCTTTCAGACTTTAGGAATGTGAAAGCTGACAGGTTTCACTGTTCTTTGCCTTGAATATTACAGTCTCCTTCAGGAATACCCTGCTGTAGAGCTAGATAATGTACGTGACTGTGCAAATTCAGGTCTTTGAAATTGATCCAAATGAAATTAAATGATCCAAAGGAATAGATTTGAATTCTTAAGAAAATGCTCCATGATTAAAAAAAACAACCCAAAACCAACATATAAACCAACAAATTTTGAGTCAACATCCAAATATATTGCTTTTTACTGAGCCCTAGGACATTGCTCTGACTCTGAGGGGTGAGTGCAGCTTTGTAAATAAAGGCACACTCAGGTGTCCCTGGAGGTGCAGACATTTTCGGTCAAGCATGGGGAACACAGGGCATGGCTCAAGCCAGTGGGAGACAAACTTCCTCTGCTGGCCACCCAGCTCCCTCCACCATCAGGACACAGCTCTGAGGCTAGTCATCAGTGGAGGTACCTTCACACACTCTTGTCAAGAGTCAGTACAGTGAATATCCACAAAGGATACCGTGTCTTTCCTGAAAATGCTGGAGACTTACTAAACTGTAACTTACCTCTAAGCATTCATGTAAGTCCCTGACATAAGCTTTTTCTGTCTGAAGCAGCTCAGCCATAATAAATCTGTGGGGGGGGAAAACAGTATTTCAGGTGTTTTGTACAAATGCCTATAACGTCCAATGAACAGAAACCAAAATATCCTTCTGTTGTCTTAATTAAAGCATTTGCACTCTAAACTTTCAGCTACCTTACTTGGCACCTTTCAGGTCTATGAATGAAAAGCCACTACACACTCTAGTCCATTTTAGGGTTATTTTCTAAATATCTGTTTTGAATGAAAGCCTATTAAGTTGTATTTTTGCAGTCCTGAGCTGTGATTTACTATCTACATGCCTATCCTTAACAGTCAACTGATTCTCAGAATTTTTTTCCCCAGGAGTAAAGACTTGAGATTCACCAACAAACGTGCATCTTCCCTAAGTCAGTGGTAAGGGACCCTGCAACTTGACCTTCAGTGGCAATACAGAGAGATTGGGAGACACCATGACTTTGAAGAGGCTTCAACAGCTTGGTATCCAATGAAAGAATCTAGACTACCGGGAAGCCCAAGAACTACATCCGTACTGTCTGAGGCTGGGCATCTCAAAGCTGAAATGCCTAATGTTTTGTGCCTGTGCTACAGGCAGATCAAGTAAACCCGCTGTTTCCTAAAGCAGAAACAGTTTCTTATCAAGGTTATGCCCTTGGTAACAATTTCAGAGAACTGAGAAGGATTGTACGCACAAATGATTTACAGAATATTCCCACAAAAAATTTAAGACAAAATACTGTGAAATTAGACTCTTTCTAGATTTATGTGCAACAAGCATTCTCAAAATATTTCCTCTAGTATGAAATATTTCCAGTTCTCCACCCACCAAAATTTGAACCTTAACTTCAAGTGAACTTGTGTGTCACTGAAAGCCAGTTCATTCCTCAGGACATCACTGAAGTTTAGATAATACCTAGATGTATAAAGATGCCTTCAATGTTTTTCCTGTTCATTTTACTTTTGACATACAGCCAAAAAGAAACAATGACAGTGAGTATCTCCATTACATCAGCCTCTAATTGAAATGCTTGACTTATTCCTTTCCATTTCCAAAAGTTAACTTCTGCTTAAAACCAAAATAAATTCAACCTGTATGTTCTGAATTTCTCTAGCCTACAAAGTCTGCCCTACACATGTAGACTTATCTCAATAACTTCACAACTGGAAGGAATTATAGGGCTGTCAGTTAGTTCTGGTCACACAAATATCATAGCATCATTCTTAGATAATGCATCATGGCAGACTGTGAGGGTCTGGGGACATACTCTTTCTTTCTGGCCGACTTTCTTTTTTCTTCATTGACTTCATGACCTGCATCTCGCAGCTTTACTTCCCGGTCAGAAAGACTTGCTGGAATAATATCTAGTTCTAGGTCCTTGTTATCCTACAAAAAAAGTGACAGTACAGATTTTAAATTCATTGTAATCCTACTGTTGTACAAAATTTTTTATTCGACCTAAAAGAGCTGAGAGATGAGGTCGGGGATCACTTTTTTGTTTAGCTAAAGGACCAGAGAATGGAAACTTTCAGCCAAAGCCCGAGTTTGAGTCAAGGTAACAGCATGGCAACAGTATTTATGGTTTATGCTAAAATTATGCAGACTTTTATTCAAATAATGTGTTTCCCCCTCCTTCCCAGTAGCTGTATGATCATATGGAGAATGGTGCAAACATTTGTTTAGAAAATCCTTTTGATCTTCATCTGTCTCCTTCTCATATCACTGATCTGCCAGAAAAGAACTTTTTCTCTACAGAAACAGTTCTGAGCTTGGATTGAAGCTGAGTTCTGAGTTGGTTGGATTTTAAGAATTTCTAGTGGACACACAATAACCTGCAGCATTCATACCATATCCATCACTTCCCTCTGTGATCTTCAGCTTTGTTATGAAACCCCAGCAGGACATGGACTTACGGTACCTCTGTATTGATTCCAAGGGCTTTTTCCAGGGAGTAGCGGTATTTCCCCATCCTGAGAGAGAAGTCGCGGTAGCGTTTGTCAACGGTGGTGACCCACTTCCTAATTTCAGTGGCGTGTATATGTCCTTTTTCTACAAAGCTGTCGGCCAGCTGGATGAGGAGCTTCACTTTCTCCTTTGTTTGCTGCCCAAAATATGGTCATCTGTTATGTTGCATTATTATTATTTCCTTTGCTTGTAATTCACACAGCAGTCAGAAGCAGCTCACAATTTTTCATACATCATTAAAGAGTGTCTGTACTTCATCTTATACAGAATCAAACGCTTTAAGCTTTGCCCAGGAAAACATGAAAAGAATTACATTTTTGTAAGGACACTTATGAAGCTGCATGAGATTCAAAAAGTCAAATTTTCAAACCACACACACAAACACACAAGGAAAACATGGTGGAAGTTAGACATGCCTCCTTCCCACAACCAAAACCTTATTTGTTGTGAGCCTTGGAGTAGAAGACAGGATTTAAAAATCACAGCTCCTAAAATAGATGAAGTTACTCTGAATCTACACATAGGTGATTCTGCAGACCTACGTAGGCAGGTCATTAATACACCACATATCAGTCCCGGAAGTGAGTTTGAGTCACTACTACTCTGTTTCAGAAACAAACAGAATTTAAATCTGAATTCCAGGTCTATTATAAAATTCTTCATTGGTATTTTAGTTCCAGTTAGAGCATTACAAATTATAAGATGCCTGAACTCCAAAACATCTACTGAGCCCCCAAACCTTCCAGAAGTCTTTTCCACTTGTAGTCTTACTGCCCCTTAGTCACTGTGGTTTTCCATGTTGAAGAACTTCGTGCAAATCTGGCACAAAGGAGCTAGTTATAAGTTTTATCTTAGATTCCAAATCTATCCCAGGAACTGAAGGTGCCTGGACAATATGTTTAAGCCAGCTTTAGTACAAAATGTTATAAAACCCTTAGATAGCAACTGTATAGACTGCATCCAACTGTAATGCACATGTTAATCCTCAAAAGCAAAAGGGGAATCAGTTGTATCCCCAGAGTTACCGGCAAGGTGCTCTTCAGAGATGGGGAGAACTTTCCATGCTGCCTGAAGCAAGACATGCTGTCAGGTACTTGACATTATCAGCAATTTGGCACAAATGGACAAACGATGTCAGACCAGAAAACATCCATCAGATTTCAAACACAGAACTGAATTTTAAAAATTTCACCAGCAAAATAAATTAACAGCTGAATCAGAGGTCATCTTAGCAAAGTATTTGAGTATGTAAGCAAGGCTAGATATGTAGAAGTAAAAATCATACTTCCTCTAATATTTAAAGGGCATTTCATTCCCAAAAGCTACTGGCTTTTTTGCTTTCCAAACAGTTGTTTAAGTCAGAAAGTTATTGGGATCAGGAAGGCTTTCAGTTACAGCTTAATTTGAGAATAACATCAGTCTGGAAGTGACATGCATTTACCAGATTGCACATGGTAGTGAAAACATTCTAGGTCAGCAGTAGGAAAGTGATTTACTAGAGCCCTAGGGAGCAAGACTAGATGTGTCAGTGTAACAAAAAGTCAGTAACAGTCAATAAGGAACAAGGTATAAAACTCAGTCCTAGGCTAAGGGTGAGAAGTACTTTGGAAACTTCATGATGAATTGGGATTATTAAATTTTGGGTGACATGGTTTAGTGTGAGGTGTCCCTGCCCATGGCAGGGGGAGTGGAATTAGATGATCTTAAGGTCCTTTCCAACCCTAACTATTCTACGATTCTGATTTATAAACTGAAACATAATTTCAGGAGGACTGACTATGGATGTTTAGAGTCCAGAAGTACCATTAAAGGAATTTTGCACAGGTCCTGTCTGATGAAATTAATTTCCATACATTGCTAATTATCTCCCATTTTCACAAACATGCAAGCTAAGCAAAAAGGAAGCGGACAAGAACACCACAAAGCCTGTGAATCAAACCCATGCAAGTATGGATAACCTAATGAAGAATATAAGGATTATAGAAGATCAATTTCAGGACACAGTGAAACGAGGCTACATAGTAACAAGGCCACAGTCTTGCTGTAGTCTGACGCTGCAATTTAGATCCTTATCAGTGACTTTTAATACCACTGTGGATTTACTGTCTGTGAATTACCTATGGTTTGAATTAATTTGTCTGAAGCAGATCCAATCACCATTCCTCTGTAAACGCCACCAGATTTCTCAGAATTGCTCCATAGAAATTAATAGATCCTTGGTAATGCAGTTTTTTATTAAAACCAGTTCACCCCAGAGTTAACACACCCATTTATTTGAAGTATTTCATTGGGATCAGCAGACTATTTGTAATGAAATAAATTATCATCTGTGATCAACCCAGCTGGAATTAATGAAACAAATTGTGGTTGTAATGACAGAAGAAAGAAGGAATCCAAGATGAACATGGATATGTTCAGATTTATTAGTTACTTTATTCTGTTCTTATATGATTGATTGAGGATGGAATTAGGGCATGTCTCAGTAGATCACTGTGAATTCTGTATGCAAAGGAGTTCTTCCTTCTGATCAGAACAAAAATGCTTTATGATCCGTGCAGACCAAGGGCAGAAAATCTTTTTGTGCCTATGCCTTGCTAAAAATGAAAGATCACAGCTCTCAAAAGACATTTATCTTCTGGGCTAGAAATGTCAGGAGTAAAGAACAAAATCAAGACAATATTATTACAGAGATTTAAGGCATTGAAATAGGATCATAAACATAGACTAAGACAGATGCTGTAATTAGATTAAAGTCACTGTTTACCTTGGCGGGTACTCTGAATTCCCCATATTCCTTCATGAGTTCCTGAGTTTCTTCTGCTGATTCCCCTGTGGAGTTGTGAGTAGAGAGGTAATACTCGCCTGTTTCTTGGATCCAGTCTAAGGCCTGTGAATGTTAAAAAAAAAAGAAAAAGAAAAAGAAAAGGCAAAAACAAAGGAAAACCGAAACAAACGGTCTTTGTCTTTCACGAACTAATCCTCTGACAAAAGCAAATCTGCCAAAGAGAGGATAGTAAATCTATTGGGACTTAATACTGTGTATACTAGAACAACTTCTGGAACACACAAGAAGAATATAGTAATCAAAGCAGGTAGGAGAGGATACAAAAGGTAGTGTATGTTTCCTAGAAGAAAAAGGAGTGTAGGGAATTCTACTTATATACAGATAAATATGCATGCAGAGAAAGCAGTTTTCTCATTCAGTAGTAGCTCAATAAAACAAGTTTGCTCTTATATTTATTTTCGAGCAAATGAAAAAAAAAAACCCACAGAAAATAATCTGGCCTGGCAAAAATACTGAGTTTTGTTGTTGGATTTTGGAATTTTCTTGAATTGTTCTAAAAAGCTTTGTCATGTTTTCCAAAGTTACAGTTTTTAAATATAGCTTGAGGCTGCAGCAGGAACCTCGCACAGAGGCATTAATTAAGCAGATACAGGAAATACTTACACGCTGTCAGGACAGAAAGACAAAGTAGAGTTTTTACACTACCTGCTTGGCACTGCGCTCAAAGACAACATATTGCTGGCACTGATCTAATCTTCGTTTTTTCAGGGTCCAGAAGTGAAGGACCCGGTTCTCCCTCTGCAGCAGCTCACTCAGAATGGCTGTAGGGCAAAAGAAAATGTCTTCATGATTAGTTATTCTCTGAGTGCTTACAGAAATAAGCCATAAAAAGCTGAATTTACTCACTCTGCCTGGAACACATTCCCAAGAGCAGAGCCCCTGAGGTTGAATCCATGCCTTTTTTTTTTTTCAGAATTCAGAATTACAAAGGGGCAGCTTAAAAAACCAAACCAAACTAAACCCCAACACACAAAAAAGTGCAGTTGTGTGGTTATCTGGTAAAGGAGAAGATGCTAGAACAGTGTTTGAGATTTACGCCAGTAGCTGCACTGGGGTACATAATTTCTAGTCCTTCCTGGTACTGGTTGACATAGGAAAAATTGTCTTTTTACTGCCTTGTCTGTTGCTCTGCCCACAGGTAGTACTTGGCACCAAAGCCTAGTGTCCCATGCAGAGCTCTGGTCATGACTGAATTTAATTCAGACCTGACCTCTCAGTTTGAAATACCTGATAAGGTTTCTTGTACAGCTGCTCTGACTGATGGCCCATTATGTGCTCCCTATGAAGTTACTGCTGGGCTAGGATTTTAAGTTGAGGTCTGCTACTGGTCCTCTAAACTGTTTTCTGTGTGAGGGGGATGTGACAGACACCCAGATTCAGGAAGGGACTGTCAGGAGACCTGCTACTCCCTGGAGTCTACGACATACATGTTCTCCTTCAAAACCCAAATGCTCAGTCAGACTTTATCAACTTGATAAAAGGGTGTGATTTGACTCTTTAAAAAGTACCATGTGTTTAACTTAAAAGATGACATGCAGAGAGAGTGCAAGAGATTTACAGTATGTTACTAACATACACCTTAGTTAAACCTGACTTTTTCTATTTAAACTGAGGTAAGCCATGTGCAGTGCGGTTCACCCAGCTCTGTTTGGGTATGGAGCTCAGGTCCCCCTTGGCAGGTAAGGCATGGCAGCCCTCCTGCCCTAACAGCCAAGACAGCGTCCACTAGAGGGGGCTTAGGCACAAGCAGCAGGGGCAGCAGCTGCGCTCTTCTATTAGAACACTGAGCGTAGTTTCTCAACCACTTACAGTGACTTACGATCATTTACAGCACCTGTTAACAATCTTTCTCATCCTAAGCGGTTCTCGAATATACTGATATTCATTGCTTATGTTACCAACACTGGTGGTAGCAAACAGATTTGGATGTATCCCTCCTTATTTACAAGTGTAACACTGATTTAGGTCAAAAAATCTGTAATACTTAAGTTAATTGCAAAACATAGCCTAGTCGCTGCTGAGGACAACAGGAACTTTGAATGACAAAAGAAACTCAAACTTTGTCATGGGTGCTCTAGATCAGGTCTCTGCATAAACAGTCCAGTCTATGCCAAAAAAAAACTAATTTTGTTCTGCATTAATGACTTTGCTTGGAAGCATAGTAAGTATCCTACTATATGGTTGGTTTATTACAAAACTAAAGTGCACACTCAAAGATTTTCTTTGGAGAGAGTCACCAATCACAAGAATTACATATTTGGCTTAGGAAAAGATTAATATAGAAGTTGATTTTTATTTAAGTGAGTAACTTCAAATAAGCTCAGTGAGGAACACTCACAAGCTTTTATCAGGTGCACATTTAAGGGCTTACTGATTCAGGGGTTAACTAACTTTCCCATGATTTTCAACTATAGGGAACAGTTCACAACAACAAGCATTTGACATAGTAGCGTGGGAAATTTGAGCAAAGTCATGTTAACACTGAAGAGCTGGCATTGAAAAGAAGGAAAATAATCTCTTCAGTAGCACCTTTTTCATCTTTTGGGTAAAACCCAAGCTCCCATCCCTCCCATATATAATGATCACACTGCTTTTAACCTGTATCTTTCTGCAGCTTGTAAGAATGCAATAATAACAAAAATGTTTTATTTTTGCAGAATCACTCAGCTCATTTGAAGCATTTCTAGGCAGAGGTTAATTTTTAATTAAGCAGAGAAGTGAAAACATTTTTAAACATCTCAGATGTATCTCCTGATTGTAAACAGTTCTCTTCTGTCTAAAGGAAAGTAACTACAGTCAAATACTTTTGCTGGTGATTGTTTGATGTGGTATGACATTCAACAGAATTCCAGGGACAAAAAAATAGCAGATCCATCCTACGGGCAAACAACTTTGGGACTCTTCTGACAAGAGAAGCCAGAAAGCACCCATGTTTCAAATTCTTTTTCTTCTCCAGTCCACTACCACTTGCAGCAGCAGAGTTCTGTATAAGAACTCATGCCTAGCAGAGAAGGATCACTTTCTGAGATGCCTCATTACCATTGCTAAATGTGTCAGGCATATGTATCATTTCAGTCACAATGGATAGAAAAACTTAAGGTGCCTTCTCAGCATGCTCACAAACTTTAGGATGACCTCACAACAGAAGGAGAAGCAACAAAAACCTTCAATGCTGTCACTGGATCGGTGCACTAACCTTTCACTTGCTGCTCAGGCCCCCTTGTATGGCTTGCTACTCCAGGCATGCTGACATTATTCCTGTGGATGTACTTGAGGAATACTTCTGCATTCCTTCGTGCCAGTGTACAGGCCTAAGAAAAACAGCCCCCAACCAAAAAGAATCAGTGAAGATGAGCAAAGAAAGCAAAGGGGACCCAAGGGAGTTCTCTGATCATTTTGCAGGGAGAAGTTCTCTTTTGTCTGGGAACATGAGAGCTTCAGCTAAGAGGCTAATAGTCAATAAACTCAGCCAATAAATGAACAGACTCATATATGTATTGAAACATGAGTAATTTTGAATATAATGGCTGATGGTTTTATTAGGGAAATTAATGGCAATAACAAACCAACTGGTCATAAAGAGCTAGTACAAAACATTTTCAATCTAATCAAAGCTAACCCCATCTCTCAGGAAAAGTACTCATTGTTTCAATAAAATGTACAATCCAAAGGCATAGTTTCTTAAGCTGGGCTTGCAAGCAGAGTTTCATGTTGTGTATCAATTTCAGTGGAAGGTGGGAGGCTGATTATCAGTCGACTTGTCAGCCTGTCAGCTCCACAGCTCTTACAAAGCAGCACCTGGAAGGCAGTAGGAAATCTGTCTCTACCCTGGTCCTGCCCTGCAGACACACAATTGCTTCAGTTGTTAGTAGTTATTCAGTTATTGGCTTCAAAGACAAAATTTGAAATGCTGGATGGTTTGTATAAGCCACCACCAAAAAGACGTGTAATACCTGTCATTTATCATGCTCATCATATGCAATTTTGAGTATTTGAACTTTGAACCAGCACAACAACTAACATCCTCCAACTGCAATGCAAATGCCACCTAATTAGCCCTGATGACATCTGAGATATGCATTAAAGATAATGCTTATTACCCCTACTATAAAAATGCAAAGCTGGTTTAGGATTTATACAGCCAGCCAGTAGCTGAAGTAAAAGTATACCTCAGGGCCTCCTCTCAAACTCACTAACACTGCTCTAAATTGAGTACTTAATGAGGAACTATTCTGATTTACTAAAGAACTAAAATGAGACCTTGAGAAAAGCTTCCTTCTGTTCCAGGTGTTTGCTGATCAGAGGGATGACGTGGTCTATCTCAGATGCTGGTCCAAGTTTATCTCGACCTCCACACCAGTCTTCATCCCGTCTGTATTCTTGTTCCAGACTCTCTAATACACTGCACACCTGAAACATGCCCATAGCACAATAATTCAGTTATCTACAGTCGTAATCAGGAGAAACATATTCAGTAAAAGTCTATGACCAATGACATTTTAAATCTAAATGTTTTGGACTGTGGGCCATGGCATGGGGATAACTGGGTATGAAACAGGCCCTGGACAGAGTGATCTAGCAGTTTTTCTTACCCATAGGGATCTCTGCTCTTTGGGATATAACTTATCTGGTTTAAGGGTGGTGAATTCTTCTTCTCTTCCAATGGATAATGAGGGGGAAGAAACTCAAAACTCCAAATTAAGGCAGAGGTCAGTCTGGCCCCAGTGGATCATTCAGGAAACAATACCCATTCTGGAAGGGTGCTTTAGATGTGTTTAAATCCTACTGAAGTCAAGGAACTTAGCACATACTTAAAGAAAAACACATGCTTAAATAGGTTCCTGAAACAAAGTCTGAAGCTGGAACTAATTCTTTTCAGCTGCATGTTAGTTGCTCCCCATACAGCTTTTCTAAAGACTGATGGAAACCAATAGACATTAAATCAGTGTCACAACCTAGGTGGATGCAGGTGTTCCACTGTACAGGGCTTACACACATATCTTCTATCTTGGTAGAAAAATGGGTATGACATAAATAAACCAACACAGTCTGAAAATTGTGTGTGCACTGGCCTCAGACAAAGCTGCGTTTTATACATTACAGATCCTGAGAACAGCAGCAGCCTGTGGAGACACTGAAAAAACTGCAACTGGAACTTTCCTCTTCTTTCCCAGTTAGCTCTCCCTACACACTCCAATGTTGAGATTACTCAAGATCCAGTCAGTTTTTGCTAGGAGGCCAGCTAACCATGTTCACCCTTTCCTTGCTCACTCCTGCAACTTTTATATGAACACAGTTATAACTCAGAGGTTCCCACATGAATAAGAGCATAGCCTGGAAGAGACTCCAGCATCATCCACCCCCCTATTGCAGACACATTTTCATATAACTCCATTCATTAACATATCAAATTCTGGTTTTAAACCAGTGAGCTGAGGTGAACTGATCAACTTACCCTGTTGCCAGGCTGTTCAAGAACCTTATGAATTTAACAGAACCTTATGCATTTAACCATCTGAAATCATAGAATCATAGAATCATAGAATCGTTAGGGTTGGAAAGGACCTTAAGATCACATAGTTCCAACCCCCCTGCCATGGGCAGGGACACCTCACACTAAACCATGCCACCCAAGGCCTCGTCCAACCTGGTCTTGAACACTGCCAGGGATGGAGCATTCACAACCTCCCGGGCAACCCATTCCAGTGCCTCACCACCCTAACAGGAAAGAATTTCCTCCTTATATCCATCTAAACTTCCCCTGTTTAAGTTTGAACCCGTTACCCCTTGTCCTATCACTACAGTCTCTAATGAAGAGTCCCTCCCCAGCACCCCTATAGGCCCCCTTCAGATACTGGAAGGCTGCTATGAGGTCTCTATTCAGCCTTCTCCAGGCTGAACAGCCCCAAGTTCCTCAGCCTGTCTTCATATGGGAGGTGCTCCAGTCCCCTGATCATCCTCGTGGCCCTCCTCTGGACTTGTTCCAACAGTTCCATGTCCGTTTTATGTTGAGAACACCAGAACTGCACTCAGTCCTCCAAGTGAGGTCTCAAGAGAGCAGAGTAGAGGGGCAGGATCACCTCCTTTGACCTGCTGGTCACGCTCCTTTTGATGCAGCCCAGGATACGGTTGGCTTTCTGGGCTGCAGGTGCACACTGAAGCTGGCTCGTGTTCATTTTCTCATCAACCAACACCCCAAGTCCTTCTCCACAGGGCTGCTCTGAATCTCTTCTCTGCCCAACCTGTAGCTGTGCCTGGGATTGCTCCGACCCAGGTGTAGGACCTTGCACTTGGCATGGTTAAACCTCATGAGGTTGGCATCAGCCCACCTCACAAGCGTGTCAAGGTCCCTCTGGATGGCATTCCTTCCCTCCAGGGTATCAACCGAACCACACAGCTTGGTGTCATTGGCAAACTTGCTGAGGGTGCACTCAATCCCACTGTCCATGTCAGCGACAAAGATGTTAAACAAGACCGGTCCCAACACTGATCCCTGAGGGACACCACTCGTTACTGGTCTCCAGCCAGACATTGAGCCATTGACCACAAGTCTTTGTGTGTGGCCATCCAGCCAGTTCTTTATCCACCGAGTGGTCCATCCATCAAATTGATGTCTCTCCAATTTAGAGACAAGGATGTCGTGTGGGACAGTGTGGAATGCTTTGCACAAGTCCAGGTAGATGACATCAACTGCTCTACCCCTGTCCATCAGTTCTGTAGCCCCATCATAGAAGGCCACCAAATTGGTCAGGCAGGATTTCCCCTTAGTGAAGCCATGCTGGCTGTCACCAAGCACCTTGTTGTTTTTCATGTGCCTTAGCATGCCTTCCAGGAGAATCTGCTCCAAGATTTTGCCAGGCACAGAGGTGAGACTGACTGCTCTGTAATTCCCTGTGTCATCTTGTTTTAATGCAATCCAGCATTCACCCTCATACAATAAGGGAGAGCAAGTGCCCCATATCTTATTTAGGCACAAAAAAGGATTTCAATTTTACTTCTTAAAAACTTTGGCACTCTATTGGGCTTTAGTGACATAAAATATGGAAGTATATGGACTGCCTGTGATCCACATCTTTCTGGAAAGGATGGTCCCTGAACATGCAAGTACCATTTCTCTGTTAAGATGATGAGAGAAACTAATATAAAGTAGGCTGTCATTGAAGTCAAAGCGAAACTGGGCTATTTGAAAGCCAGGGCTCCACCAGTTATATCAAAACTGTAGCATACTTGAGGAAGACAGGCATGAAAAAGTTTGGCTGGTTGTGTCAGTCTCTCCACCCTTTTAGATGTTTTTTGTAGACTCTCAGAGAATTCAGGATCTAGTAAATTACTCAATCCACTGTCATCCCATCAGGGAGCAGACCATTAAGGACCACAGATCAGCTGTGCAGCTCAAGAGAAGATGACAGACTACTTGCAGCAGTGAGTTTACAAGCATTTGAAGACTGAATAATCTTTGCCCTAAACATTTGCCAAATAGACACAACTAATAAATGAACTGGTGGGCACTGCAGGATGCTTGTCTAGGACTTGGAAACATGAAGAGAGACTGTATTAATAAATTGCTGGCTATGCATATTCTGATCAGCACATTTGACTGTCTATAAAGCACTAATGAATCTGTTAATGGTTTTCATTTCTCGCAATCCTCCACTAGCAGTAATTCATTTCAATCTTGAATGCATCAGGGAACGTAAATCTATTTGAAACTCTTCACAGTGAAAGACATTAATCTTAAACAATCTTAAAAATAAATTAAACAAATGACACCAAAAAGTGGCCCAAAGGTCATCTACAGCCTTGATGCTAAGGAAAAAATAATCTCTCACCCTAATATATATTTAGTGTTTGAGTACCCACACTGTGACAGTAATTTTCACTGACTACAGTATAAATGGCACCTGTCTGCACAAGGGATGAATAGTTGAACTGTACCAGCAATCAACTGGAATGCGTTTTGCAATTCATAGACACCTGGAATGAAGTAAAGTTGTGTCAACATATAATGGATACTGCTGTAATTGTGTTGCAGACAGATTTAAGAAAGATCCCTTCATATCTTGGCATCTTTTTTGGCACCGTGGTGAAAAACTAGTGAAAACTCTGTCTAGTACTGCTCACAAAGTAACAAGTAAGTAATTGCACGCAGTTCTCAAGAAAAAGCAGATTTATATTCCTCAAAATTAACTCTGATATCCTAAAAAAAGGGTGGCATTTCAGAAATGTTGCCTCTTTGGAAAGGGGACAATTAAAATAACTTAAGGACTTAGATTTTTTCACGGAAATCTTTAAGATGAAAGTCACTGCAAATTGCTGCTCTCTTTTGTTTGGTAGGTTTTGCATTTTCCTTTTTGTTACAATACTTGTCAAAGAAACAGTTTTGACTAGTTCAAACTATTTTCCATATGTGGCTCACCATTGCTATGCCAGTGGAACAAATGTCCTGTCACTTAATTTTGCCAATGCTGTGAGATCGCTTACTGGCAGAAGACCCCCTGTGCTCAGGTCAGTAGAAAACCCACACCTACCAGCACTGCTACACTGTGCACTGGAGTGCACTCACATTAGTGTTGACGAGCTGGGAATCCCTGAGGGCTCAACACTGGCCCTGTTCAGGTGACAGAAAGGTTTGTATCCACTAATATGTGGATGAAGACATGTGAACATATGTGAAAATACAAACTGCAGCTTTTAGGGGTAAGCAGGGCTGACTGAAGCCACACTCTTCCTACTTTTAGGATTACTCATGGAAAATGGAGAAGAATAAGTACTGCTCCTTAGTGGTATTATCAGAGGAGGTATTTGGAACAGTTTAACACTGTGCTGATCTTGGTGAGAGGCAATACCTTCTCACCATGTACGGGGAGTTAAATCCCAGGCTGTTGTGATATGCTATGGCACAGATATGACACTGTTCAGCTCACCTGTTCAGATGTTTTATAGAAGGCCACCGAGGCATTGACAAGTTTGAGCCTGTCTTCCATCTTCAGCATCAGCTGCTGCCAGTGCAGGGCCACCTTTTCGGCACATTCTCTGATAGCATCAGCATCATAATGCCCAGCCTGTAGCAACACTTCAGCTTTCTGCTGGACTTGCAGGGCACTCTGGTGTGTCTTCTGTAAGGAAGTGGCATGAAAGAGGGACTGTGTATGAGGGGAGGAAAGAGGGGTTGTATAGATGTGCCAGATGTATGGTAGAAAGGTGAAGCGAGGTGTGAGCATGGAGATGTGAGAGAGTGAAAGATTTTCAGAGAGTTATCTTCAATTAGCAGTTACTTTCTGCAAAGCATTTTAGTTTCAATTATTCACACACATTTGCAACATGTTATTAAAGCTTGGGACAAGCAAACACTTAACACTACAGTCTTAAATGGGTTAGCTTCACTGATCAGCTACTGCCCCTTGCGCAACAGCCTGGGGTGGGGTTTCTGCTGGATCCATTTGGACAACCCCAATGCAGGGAGCTGTTGTGCTGAGCTCCCACCCAGCCTGTACTCAGTGCTCACTGCATCCCACACAAGCTGCAGATACAAAAGCAGACACTAAAGGGTGTGCAAACTATGGGCCTAATCACCCTAATTCGACTCTTGCCAGGCAGTTTGATGCCATCAGCAGCTTCACTTAAGCATGAATTGTCCTGTCTGCAGGACACGAAACATCAACCCCAAAAGATATGAAGATGCCTTGATAAAAGGCACAAACTATATTGCAAATATCAGCCCCTACAAGATACATTTCTGAAAGTCAGGTCACTCATACTGGAGCTACTCCATGCTACCTTTAAGGGCAGATCTGTGGGGAGTCAAACTGTTTTTTCTCCACTGTTCCCCAGTTTACTCAGTAGCCACTTTACAGACAGGACTGAATTATTCGCTTCATTCCCCAGCCTACACCAGCTCCTGATGGTTACAGCTTCCTTTTTGAGCTGCTGAGAGGAAAATAGCCCCTGGCCCTTCACAGCCTCCTGAGTAACTGTGCTGAGGCATGGTTTAGTCCAATATTTGATTTTAATCTTCTGAACAGAAGCCCTAAAATCTCCCAAAGACTCCTCTGTTCAGCATCCCATTTGTAACTGCTGCTGACAAATTCTCATGTGATACTTTTATGATCTAATCCTTGAACCTGGAAAGAAGCTTGAAATCATCTGGTAATACACTGATGAATAATGTAATGCAGAGAAAGCTATTAGTAAAGAAAGGATTAATACTTGGCAGAAACATCTAGGAAGATGCTCAAGAACAACTGGTTAAATTTAATATCCAGCTGCTTTACTGATGTTACAATTGTAATACTTGTTTTAAATAGACTTTAAAGGATTTCAACTGAAAATCAATCCCACATCTAGAATGCCTTTAGAGAATGGTCTGCCTTGTGTGCTTTACTGATCTCTTTCCCATATTGAGCTTTAAACAATTTAAATATTTAATCTCGTGATTTCTTCCTTTGAAAACTTATTTTTCCCTTACTGTGGCATAACCCTCTTCTCTATCTGTGATTTGCATTTACCACCAAATACAAGCACTTCCCCAATGGCAGCAAGCTGCAATAACACAGCCAGTGGGTGTCTTATTCCCCACTGTCGTCTGGTGATGGCTGCCAAGATGTGGTCAGCACAGCTTGGTACCAGTCAACTCATTCAGAATTGATAGAACACTTCTTCCTTTCCCTTAGGAGCTGCAATAGCTGCTCTTTCCTTAGTGTGAGTGGAGCTGGACCAAAACAGGCCAACAGCTGAGATTTAAACGCTGCACTTACTAGGAACACTATAATACATATTGCCTTACGTAAAGTTCAGCAGAGACATAAAGACACCCCATCCCCCAAAACCTCCATTATGGAATGATTATTTTCAAAGTTTAAAGTTTGGGTTAGTTTTGGTTATTTTCAAATATATATAAACCACAGAAAGGGATTTTCCAACTTGTCTGGTCTGTAAAAAGCTAACAATTAACATAATCTGGGAAGCATGTACACCCTCTTGAGCAGGAACAGGAGAAAGCAATGAATCCCCTTTCTAGCAACTGGAGTGAGCATAACCTGTGAGCGTAGGGTTTGTTCATAATGACAAAGATATATAAAAAAATGAGCCTAATTACAAATCTTCCTGTGCTCTAATCAGGGGAGTCCAGAGCCCTCCACTACTTTCTCATTCAAAGCAAAGCAGCCTGAAGCAGGTGCCACTCCTCCTGCCATGTCCTGGCCCTGTGAGTGAGGCAAATGTGTTGGCTCACAGCTAGTTTTTGAGGGCCTTGTCGAAGATGTGTTACTTCAGGGCAAGCAAGGGCAAAAGCTCAGTTTAGCAGGCAATTTTTAAAAATTGACCCTCTTGCCTCTTCTTCAACATTACGTGGGTTTGAATGTCTCTTCTGCTGTCCACAAAAGGACAGCTGAATGAAACAAAGATTTCATGTGCCAGCATTATCCAGTAACAAAGATATTCATATATAAACACTTAGAAATAATCTGTGGATCATGGATATGGAAAGAAACTGACTTAACAAAGTTTTCTTATTTTCAGAACACTCTGTGACGTTTAATTTTTTTTTTTTTTTTTTTTTTTAACCAAAGAAATTATCAGAAGATGCATGAGTGCCATTTTTATGAATGGAAAGGCTGATATCTGACAGGGAAGAATTAGCTGCAAATGATAAAGTTATTTATTTAACTATTAACTTCCAGCAGCATTACAAGTTTAATGAGATTTTCTAAAGTTTTTATTCCTTCCCTTCCTCCAAGCAAGCAACAATTGGTGCTCAATAGGTAACCTTTTGTATGGTATTCACCTGGGAAGGAGAAACTAAGTTAACTTATTCATGTTACCTCTATGGCCAGCTGAAACTGCTCATGCTCTCGCTGGAGCTGCTCAGCTTCAGAGAGGGAGCTCGCATTGACGAGGCTTGCATTCAGCATCGATTCACCATTCCTGATCCAGCCAAGCACCTGTAAAGAAAGGATGTGCTTATGGAAAGGTTGCTTCAGTACAAAGGTTTATGTAGTCACTGATCAGAAAAAGCTTTGGATCTGGCTAACGAAAAGGTGCTTTGCTCAGTGTCGTCTCAGGCTGAATCAGTGAGCAGAAAGAAAGCCTAGGTAAGGACTTGATAACATACATTTTTAGATGGCAAAGATGCTTTAAAGAAGTTATTGCTTTAAGAATTAAACTCCGAAAGCATTTACATGGACATTCAAAAAGAAAAGAGCTTTCATTTCCAAGTTTTGATTACAAAAAGGAATGTTTCCCTACACAAACACCCAGGGCAAAAGCAGAAAGTACAATAAGGGAGATTTGAAATTAAACATAAAGATCTCTCTTTCTTTCAAATTTCCAAATTGCATCATGGACCATGCAACTCCTTTCTGCACCATGTCCCTGACTTTGTTCCACACAAAAGTCAGAGCTTAGCCTTAAGGAGGGAGAAGACAGAGTTGGTTTCAGCTAACACAGAGTTAAGATGCAGTTGGAGCTTCCACCTGCACATACAGCTAGGAAGAAATCCCAGGTCTTGAATTTAATATTTAGTCAAGAGGCTTTACTTCAGGAATATTCAGATTATTTGTAGACATGCCAAAAATGCTGTAATGACTACAGAGTCAAATCCTAAATGTGCATAATTAATCTATCAAGCTTGTACTTATTCATTTAAGAAGTAACATTTTCTGCTATTTTAAGACACGTTTGGAAAATTAGCAACCAGAAAACACATGCAAGTTCTTTGCTGTGTTGTTTCAAAGCCTATTTTCTACCTGTGTAGGTGTGAAATTATTCCAATAAAGCAGTAAGTTGCTGAATTCAATTCACAGATGCACAGGAAATCCTGGCTGCCCAATCACTGCCCTAAATATAGCTTGTGACTTACAAGGCTCCCAATTGACTTTGATGAAATATTCTACATAATAATTTCCCTTTTGTACATCATTTTCACCAAGTGATACATTAAATTGCCTGAAATAAATCGGGATTTTTTGTTGTTTTGGATTTTATCCCTCCATCATGTATCACCCTCATTATAGCCATTCAGTTCCCTGTAGGGTAGGAAAATGAGTTTTCCCTAGGAGGAAGAAAGGGAAGCCATCTATACACATAGCTGACCCTAATTTGCTGAAAATTACATTCTGCTCAGTACAACAGTGTGGAAGATTTCATTTGTCAGCTTTCTCTCTTTCATCAGCAGGTGTTATTGTTCCTGTGGGAAACGCGACGAAGATTTAAAGGAAAAGAAATCAGGTTATCATATGGCAATCTTTTTGGCTGGCATCTTCTATAATCCATCAGACAAGAAAAATACATTGTTGCCAACTACGTGGTACCAAAATCTGAAGTTAACCAAAGGATCACAGTGTTTGGGAAAGACTTGAAGTGAGGACATGATAAAGCAAGACATGCTTTCATTTTTTATATACCATGGTATACCCTGCCTTGGGCTATTTAGAGTGACAGAAAACACTGAGTAGGTAAGCTAAAAATGCAGCAGCTTTTTATTTTCTCTTCTTCTTTTCTTTTTTTTTTTTTTCTTTTCTGAGCTGAAATTTTCAAAAGCTGCCACAGAGGTTTTAACACAGATTTCACACAAATATCTGAGTCTCTAAATACTAAAACAACAACAAAAAGAAACACACCCGAAAACTCAAGTCTTAAAGCAACTTGATAAGTAAAAAGCCAATAGTAACAAGTTCGAACAAGGAGGAAGAGACCACACAACTGATTATGGTTGGAAACCAAACAGCTAGGTTTCCTCTAGTGTTAATCCCTCTGTACAGCTGTTTTGTTGACTCCAAAAATATCCAGGGTAAAGCAGTTCAAGTCAGGCTTTTATGGGCTACATCTTGTCAGCAAAGGTTACAGCACTCAAGTCTTGACTAAGGCTGCTGCCATTACTGAGTTGTTCCCCTCTCTCCTTTCCCCAAAATGCGGGTTCAGATGCTCACTGTGGAGCTCCTACACTCCCCTTCCAGGCCCCGTGAGCACCCAAGCACTAGCAAATTTTGTTTGGAAGAACTTAAGTAATTACCCCATTCCACTTCCAAAAGTCTAATGCTTAAATGTCAGAACCTCATCAGGGATTGCACCAGCTTTTTCCATAGTCATGTTCTTCTCTTAGCTTGTTTTCCTCCTCTTCTTTTGTGCATGTCTTTCAGAATGAGAAAAATTCAGTTGCATACCCAGAGCTTCTTAAGTCTAAGTGCAAAAACCAGTCACCTACAGAGCCTTTCATTGTGTCACTGGCTTGGAAGGAGATTGGGAAATGGTTGGAAGAGAGCATTTACACACTTGTATCTGGTTTACAAGACCTGCACATAAACTGACTCCTACTTACATGGCGCTTAATAACTTTTCATTGAAATATGCATAGGAGCTAATTAAGCACCAAGACACTTCTCCAATAATTTCCTGTATTAATATATTCACCATTATCTGGCAATGTGCATACAGGCCAACAGCAAAAGATGTCTTTAAACAGTCATTTACTTCAAATTACAGATTTTATCAACTTTGTAGAAGCGGTGATTAAAAAATTCTGGAGATAAATAAATCTTATAAAACTTATAAAAAGCGTAACTATTTTTTTTTTTTAATAATGGAGAAGCAGAAACACACTGACAGCATCTTAGATAAAAGTCACTTGACGCTGGAGAGCAATTTCACTTCAAGGCATGGGTTGTCAGATCTGAGACAACTCCTACCTTTGACTCCAATTTGCTTAAATCAGGCTACAATTTTGTATACTGCTTCTCTGTAATTAAATAATAGTATCAAATTCTTTTAAAATTCATACCCTGAAACTTTTCTATCTTCACCGAGCATAGAATCAGATGCTACAGGAAAAATAAAAAGGCACCCTTTACGATGGTAAAAGATTCTTAAGTTTTAAAGGCAAAATGACGTTAGTGAATCTTTTGTATCTCTGGACCCTTAGAAGCTTCTTTGAGAGGCTCTTACTACCAGAAATAAAACATACAAAGGTACAATAAGGGGATAGGAAAGCCAAACAGCTGCAAACACAGCATTAGAGAGTTTGTTTTTTAAACTGACCTCCTCAAATCTGTTCTCCTATTACTTTTATGTAAGCAACCCAAGCTCTGTAGTTTCTGTCAAAAATGAACGGGGTCCAAATGAGGGGAAATCAGTCTTGGCCAGGATCTTTCTTAATAACAAAGTGTATGTGAATCACTGATCTATACTCTTTCCACTCTAAAGCAGTTCACAGATCATCTCATTTGGAATTGTTCTGCTATAATGGCTGCAAACTTACATTCATTGTCTTGGCATTCAAAGCTTTGGTGCATATGACATAAAGCAGAAATCTCTGGTAAATGAGACTTAAATAGATAGAGACAGTTAAAAGACTTTGTATTTCCATGAGCCATTATATCAAAATGCAAACATATGTACACGTAGCAGCCTTGACAAATTTTACTATGTCAGCAGAACTACAGTAGGTGTCTTACGGCAACCACATATCATCTGATTCACAAGAGTGAGAGCAATTTGGTAATGAGATCATCCATCGTCTCAGATGCACTGAAATCAAAGTGAAGGAAATCTGGATCGGACTGGAGATGAACTAAAAGCCAAAATCAATATACTTCCCAAATTCACTAAATGGTTGGGAATATGACTCATCTAAAGGAAACCAAATAGATAGGGCACAGATACATTTGAATTTGCCTCTTTCTAAGGGAAACTCTAGCTCTGGTAATTTATATGTTAATAAGCAAAGGAGTCTTTAGTATTCCCCTGAACAAATAAAATTAGTCTTCACTACTGGTTTGCTGAGGGGTCACATAGTAATGAAAGCTCTGATGGTCCTAAGCTCCATTAAGGAAATACTACTTCAAGGCACCCTTCTTCTCCCACAGTATTATATAGCTCAGTACATAGTAACTATTTCTTTTGGTTAGATTTTGGTTTGTAAAATAATTAAGGCCCAGCTGATACTTGATAATGAAGCAAGTAACATCAGGTACCTACAGAGAGTGCTGCACTGCCACTGGATGGCTCCAAAAGCAGCCACAGGCTGACCAACTGGCATCCTGGTCGAGTGGACTAGTGACACTTGGTCAGATAGCAGTAACCTGCATTTCTATCATTTCTGCTACACATATTACTCCTATTTTCTATCGTAAGTTAAAATGCCTCCACTTCATCATAAATCTCTAACACAAAACTCCAAGTTTAGCTGTGTGTGAGTAACTTTATGAACCTAGGGGGAAAAGAATATACGTCATAATCATAGTAAGGTAGTGACTATATCACAGAGTCTGTGATACTTACAGGCAAACCAGACTACAGAGCTGTGGAGCTTCATGAGCAGTTGGCTTTCAAATATCAGAAATGCAAAATGACTACATTTTCAAAATAAAAATTTAGGTGAGTACTTTCATTTAGGGTTGCAAAATTTTTACATCAAAGTGGACTTTGAAAGAAAATGTATGCAGTGGTGTTGGTGCTGCCAGTTTCTAGGTTGAGAGTTGTCTGAGAATGAATGATTTTCTCCCAGCAATGATAAAAAAATTCAAATTGTCACTCAAATATTCACTTTTGAAGACAGAATAACTATGATCATGTGTACTGAACACTCAGAATATTATATATTTATACATACACATATATATATATATATATATATATATAAACAAAGAAACAAATCTCTTTCATGAACACCTTGGAGTGAACTACCCCCTTGCCCCAGTACTGGTAAAATGGAAACCTGGTGTCTGGAAAAGTGTTTCCGGTTTTTCTAATGAAATTAAGCCAATTCCATTGAAATCCAGACATACATTGAAGTGTGAAGCCACCTATGGATTAGGAAGCTGGAAGCATAGGATTATCCTGTGTAGCAAGGGAAACCAAAGAAATCTGAGGCATCCAAATTAAGTATCAGGGGAAACTTAGGGAAGCAGAACACGAATGCCTATGCTAGGATGAAATCTGGAAGAAATGTAACAATACAAAGATGGCTAAACAAGCCCTAGCATCTAGAGACCACAGACAGAACTTATCATCTCACCCAGATGTTACAGATTTCTGCAGGTCAAGAGATGTACAGCGATAAATGAAAAGGTGAAACTACTGTAATATCAGACCTCACAGCTCAGTTATCCTTTGCTTTGGGCCAGTTCTTCACATCTTAAAACAGTATTCCAAACAGTATTATAACAGTATTCCAAATCAAATCATTATATTCCCAGAACACATGGGGTTTGAGGCAGCTTCTCCAGTTGAGAAATTATGGGGTCAGTTCTCTGCAAACTTCTCATAACTATTCATGAAGACAAATATATGCACACTAGAGGGAACAGAGCTCTTCATTATTTGTAAAGGGTCATGCTGCAATCTGTCAGGAAATCAAGTACCGTTAAGGAAAGGGGGATTCAGATTGTTCACCTAAATGTATGTGATTTGGCAGAAGCTGGTTTAACAGCTTGCATGTATGTAATGGCTGAAAACACATTTCAGACCCTTATGTGTGTTTAAAAACTCTCACCTGCTTGACTTCAGCTTGTAAGTGCCGGAGCTGTAGGCACTGTTCTAACCTCTTGTGAGTTTGGTCAGCATTAAGCTCCAGCTCATGTTGTTTCTCATGAAGGAATTCCAGCAGCTCTTGAACTTGAGTTGCAAGATCAATGTCTTTTTCACAGATCAGCTCGATGCCTGCAACATGCAGAGAAAGAGATCATTGCACTTATTTGAAATTCCAATTGTCGCACAAATGTAAGCTTCAAAGATTTTTGCCACCTAACGCAGTGATTTGCAACTCTCTGAGAACTTCCTCACTAAACTTTCTCACATGCAATATCTGGCTTTCCCAGTTTACTGTTCTGCATCACTACATTTCTCTACAAGGTGGTGTTTCTCTGGTGCTCACTGCTCACCCATCAGCACCTTGCTAGTAGGACATGATTTGACTTTGTAAGAACATTGAATTAAAAAAAAAAAGGGACAGAAAAACCTCACCTTCTTACAGTAATTAACTTATACTTCAGAAAGGCATGGTGAAAAGAACTTATAAGAGAAAAAAGATGAGGAAGAAAATAGAAAAGTGAAATATAGGAAGTAAACTCCAGTGACCAGAGTGATACAAGTGCATGGAGCTCCACAGTGCAAACTTTTTTCCATGTGTGCACTTTAAAGGATCACTAACAACAATCTAGTTTAAAACCAGCCTCTAGTTCTTTCAGAATTACTACACAGACTGACTTTCACTCAATCCTCACATACCAGAGAGAAAAAGTGGCATAGTACCACACTCCCGTCTTTGTATTCTGCACAAAACTGCTAAATTCCTGAATAACCTGGCCTGATTTTGTAGCAGATCCTGACTTGATCAGGAGGTTGAAATAGAGATGTGTCGAGCCACCTCCTAGCTCCTGAATGTTCCTATGACCCTACAAGCCTTGTGTGTAGTGGTTACATGAAATACAATGCTGAGCTTCACATAGAATCATAGAATAGTTAGGGTTGGAAAGGACCTTAAGATCACATAGTTCCAACCCCCCTGTCACGGGCAGGGAAACCTCACACTAAACCATGTCACCCATGATCTTCCTTCTTTATTACATTGGTATGATAGCATTGCTAGTACATTACCATGTAATTGTGAAACTTTGGCCTGGAGGAAATATGATGTCATCCCATGTTCCTATAATCCCTGTGATTATAAACTAATAAAGACCTGTCTCCTCCCTTATGGACGTCTACTGGAATTTTGCCATTGGCCTTAATACAGGAAGGATCAGGAACCTAATATAATCAGATTGCAGTAGTGCTGAGAAAACACTAAACTTTTCTCCAAAGCCATTTGATTTAATGGAATAAAAGGACGTTAAAAAAAGAATGTGTTAACTAGAGGCTACTGTACAAAAGGTTTGGACACTGCTTTTAAAACTCATTTAGAAAGATGTCTTTTCATCCCCCTTTATCCTCCTTAGAGACTTGTGACTTCCATTCTCTCTCACAGTGATATCTATCATCTGCTCTCGTGAGACCTCACTTGGAGTATTGTGTACAGTTCTGGTGTCCTCAACATATGAAGGACATGGAACTGTTGGAGCAAGTCCAGAGGAGGGCCACAAGGATGATCAGGGGACTGGAGCACCTCCCATATGAAGACAGGCTGAGGAAGTCGGGGCTGTTCAGCCTGGAGAAGAGAAGGCTGCGTGGAGACCTCATAGCAGCCTTCCAGTATCTGAAGGGGGCCTATAAGGATGCTGGGGAGGGACTCTTCATTAGGGACTGTAGGGATAGGACAAGGGGTAACGGGTTCAAACTTAAACAGGGGAAGTTTAGATTGGATATAAGGAAGAAGTTCTTTACTGTAAGGGTGGTGAGGCACTGGAATGGGTTGCCCAAGGAAGTTGTGAATGCTCCATCCCTGGCGGTGTTCAAGGCCAGGTTGGACAGAGCCTTGGATGACATGGTTTAGTGTGAGGTGTCCCTGCCCGTGGCAGGGGGGCTGGAACTAGATGATCTTAAGGTCTTTTCCAACCCTAACTGTTCTATGATTCTACACAGAGGACAGTACACAAAATACATATGACTTTATGACCAATCCTATCCCCTTTTTCCTCGTTTCTGGTTTTATCAGAAAAAAACACGTGAATGCAGGTGACTGACTTATTTCCTTTCCCAGCCAAAACAAAACAGTTTCTTCATTACCAAATAAAGTGGAATGCCCCCTGGCTTCCCATTTATAACTGGAAATTTAATATACATTTATATTCTTGGGAGTGAAGTTCCTTTCAATTGCCAGACACCAGGCCTTGTTGCTACAATTAGTCTGCATATGGTTCTGTATCCTCAGGACATGATGGCTTTTTGTATGCTTGACTTCACCACACCTATTTGATATTAAATGCACAGTTTTCCTTCATGCACACTCAGCTGGTATGGTTTTGATTGCGCTAGCTCATCAGCAGCAACCAGTGAACTGCCTGGGATGCTATCCAAGGGCAGCCTGCGCTCCCTATGATGAATGAGCTGCCCTTTCTTGCTTGTCATATGTCACACAGATTTATTCTGCAGTGCCAGTGCATGTGGCGAGAGCACTTATTCTTCTCAAAGACTGGTTTGCAAAGTAGAAAGCCTTGTTTTCAGAATAATTTCACACATATAATCATTGTGTTTTTATAGACAGAAAAGTGCAGCTGATCGATTTTCTGATAAACTGAACTTGGTTGCCATTTTATTCTAATGTCTCAACCAGAGCAGCAAATACCAAGTGAAGGATAATGAATTGAAAATACTTTTTTTTAAAAAAACCCTGACCTCCAGATCTTACATATCTCCTACTAAAACCAAGTATTTCTTTAAAGAAAAATTATTCTGATGGTGAAATCAGGCTAATCCAAAGCAGGTTCAACCACATGTGCTAAGAGTAGTGGAAGGAATCATAGGGATGTAACTCTGAGCTGTATGGAGCTTTGGAAATACTGGACTTGCACAGATGCCCCAGATAGTGGCACAGAGTCTGATATGGTGCATCGCAGGACCCGTGGATTTATTATACCAACATGACAATATTCACAGGGATTTCCAGCCTGGTAAGAATCACTGCTCCAAATCTGCATGGGACATGCAAAAATCATGGGTGAATTTTTCTACCTGCACAAAATTTCCAAGTGAAAAAGGTATCATGCATGGAAAAACCTGGACATAATTTTCTCTGACAGACTTAACTAGCTTAAAGATCTCCAAGCCAAATGCAAGAGTGATCAAATCAAACCAACTTCCTGTACGACATGATGAAAGGAATAAAGCTCAAAGGGAATTACAGAGAAGGGAAAAAACTTGGTCAATTAAGAGTGGCTGTTTAGGTAGAATGTCCCTGAAAAAACACATTTTTCCTTCTGTGACTACAGCTGAGTTCTGATTGCAGCAGTGGTGCCATTGTACAATAGAAGCAGCAATAGCAGCTGATTTCCCAGTATCTCTGCAAGCTTGCAGCTCCGGCAGCAAGAACAATCATTCCTTAACTTATGCACTGAACAACTATGATATAGGATTCAGGAAGAGGGAATAAAATTAAATGAATTTTTTATGAAGTATAGCTGTCCTTTATTGAAATAAGAAACAGTAGGCTCCCAAGAGCAATCTCTCTCCCTTATTTTGCCATTTTCCCAGCATTTAGCATTCCATGCATGGCAGACATGACCATTACCTTTGATTAACTGCAGCTACTCTACATCCCCATGAGGCTTCTGCTTCCTTTCCTTTGGGAACAATAGGTTTTTATTGGGTAGGCTTCATAGAAAGTGATCTTAGATAATCTTATAAAAACATTTTAAATGGAATTTCATTTAGTTGTTAATTTTTTGTCTGCAATCCAAAAGTTGTTGTTTTTAACTTCCTGACAAACACAGATTTCCCCCCGCTCCCCTCCCTGCCCTAAAAATCAGTCACTGAGACTCCTGGCTGTGCTCTGCTCTGGATCACATTCTTTATCTGCCATGAATTCCTACTGATATTAAGATTCTTTCAGGATGGAGGGTGGGGGAAGAAAAACCAGGAAGAATCTTATCTGACATATTAGGACAATTTTTCTATCCCAGAAAACAAGGGATCAGAAGCATAGGACCAGGCGTAGTGGGGGAGATTTCAGAGAACCTTGCACACATGGTTCACACAGTGCACCAGATTGTCTAGTTCACGGCATACTCTTGTAGCAGTCCTTAAGACTCTGTTGAGTTCAGCTTGCCAAATAGACTGAATACTGCCAGACTTTTTTTTTTAAAGGTGGGTGCCCTGGAGGTAAAATATTTGCCAAAAAATAAAACCATAAAATTCCTCTTTTATTTTGAAAGTAAAAATTGGGAGGGAAAGAACAGGAATTGCTCTCACTTTGCTCTCTTTCCAGACATTTAAGAAGGTTAAAACACAAGTAACAGTCACTTCTGGACTTTATGCAGTGATTAAACTGAATTATGATATTCCTTTTCCAAATGCAAAATGCAAGGATACAAAAATCCTGATTCACAGGATGTCTTAGAAATAGGATCCTACTGCTGAGAAGCAGAGTAAAAGTATCAGACTCCTTATCAACATGAATCGAGTCTGTCATTTAAGAGCACATGCCAAAGGTTTTTTTACATCCAAATTGCTACCTTCAATTTTCGCAGAAAGTGCACACTATAGTTTATCATATTGCCTCTTTATATAAAATAATTCCAATTAGACCTGGCTGGAAACAAGAATTCCATTTCATGACTGGTTTCAAAGCTCTCATATTTGGATTCTTCCCCAAAGGGCTCTTGGATAACTAGCTTCTTTCTCCCCTCTCTTCCCCTTCGGCATGTCTGCACCCTGAAATGTGGCCAAGGGAAAAGGTATTCAAGTCTGTGAAGAATGAACCCAGGACATCTGGTCCATTTGCCTCTTGGCAGTATCTATTTGCATAAAGGTTAACAAGCTTAAGAGCCTAGAATGACTAGACTTTATCCAGACCAGAGGTCTAACTTGCCAGCTCATGTACCTCTAACTCATGATTTTCTGCAGTGCTTGTTTCTGAGCTGCGCAAGGACAAGGACCTACCAGTGTAACTTGTCTTGCCCTCCCCTCTCCATGCACTGTAGAAACGATCACAAACTCCATCTTGCTCTTGTGAAACTTTGTGAATGACACTTGAAAGTCAGTTTTATTTCCTCAGTGAGTTTCAGTGTCAAAGAAACAGCAACTTTTGGCATATAATCGTGGATCAAAGAATTCCAAAACTTGTGGAAAAATTCTGGGAGTTGGGAGTGGAGAGACAGGTATTACTGGTACTTATGTTAAAAGCCAATGTATTTGGTATATACTGGAACACTTGACATGAGTTTTGTGCTTTTCTTGGGTTTTGTGTTTTTTCTTATGTAAAATAGAGATCAAATTGTTCTGCTCACCTGAAGCCTGGACCTCCATGATGTACTGGTGTAAATCTTGCCCTTGTTGAATGACTTCAAAGGTCATGTTGTTCATGGCCAGCTTCCGCTCAGTGTGACGCTGCAAACGCTGCTCAGCCAGAGTGAGGTCTTCGGTATTGAAATCATTCATTTGTCTCAGCAGATCTTCATTCCAGGCATCTAACTCTGCTGTAACCTTTACAGGCAGAAGACAGACACTATATTTATTCAAGATTAATGAAAAAATCTTACTTTCAAACTGTGTTTGGATCACAAAAGTACTTCACATTTTGACTCTGATCCAGAAACATCCAAACCACAGTCTCACTATTCTCTCGATCCTGCTCATTTAATGGTCATGCTTAAGATATTGCTTGAAAAATAATCCATGAAAAGCTTTACAACAAAAATCTGACAGCTTCTTTTTCCCTTACATATTCCAAAAGGCACTAAAAGAGAAGACCCACTATATTTACATGGATGGTAGAGATAGTGTTTCTGAATAAATTCATATTTAAATGAAGTAATGCTTACAGAATTGTAAAACAATTTGTATCACCTGTGACCACATAAGCCCCAAATGACCCTGCTTCCAAAAACATTTTGCAACACACTGTACATTACATATTAAAGATGGAAATACTATTTATTCTAGCTTCATAGAACTGAAATGATAAGGTGCTTCCAGTAAACCCTAAGCCAAAGATAAGTTAATACATTTTCAAAATCATTATTGATATAATGCATTGTGAACAGTATCTACCCACTGTTCTCAGAGAATGCATCATGAGGCTAAATATTTCTTTTTGCATTTGTGAGTTAATCCCCACGCCTTGACTGCAGTTGTACAATGAGTGCTATGCCATACTTCTGGGACTTACTGTCTTTTATAAGGGTCTTTCTGTTATTTTCAGTGGACTTGAGAACAGGCCCTGTATAACCTTTTTCTCCTGTGGACCTGAAAGCTTTTACACTGGGCAATGAATATAAATAATTGACTTCTACAGCACAGAAACATCATAGTCAACGGCTAGGTGAATCACCAGCAGAATCACAAAAGGTACCTGGTTCTAACCAAAGACCGATATAACCTGCCAATAATCCCTGGAAACAGGCAAAATCTTCTGTTGCTTTCTCTACTTCCTTAATTAATTAACTAACGCATAGTCTGATGATTTCAGCAGCCTATTCATGCTACTTTCTGTACTTTACATTTTAGCCCACAAGTAGCCAACACGTATCAAAGTCTTTCTCTGGTTTTGCTTGTTTGATTAAAGCAAGACCTAGCCTCCACCCAAACAGCACAGTCTCACCTGAATCTAGATTCTGCTACCGCAGACAATAAAATGGGAATGCGCTAGTGACAGTGGATGAGGGTGAGGGGGGATGAGTACTGTGGAGAACATATTTTTCTTAAGTATTTAAAAATTATTAAATAAATGCCTTAATTCTGATTTATAGGTCAATTCCTCATAGCTAGATTCAGGAGAGCTAAAATTAGGTACCTAAATTCCCACTTGTGCATGCTATAAATTAGTGAAAAGTTCTGTTTCTCACTAAAAGTGTTCTTCAGGGCCTGTGCGCAGTGAGATTCTTAACTTCTGAAGCAGCCAAGATTCAAAATTTTCAGTTCAGTTTTGCTTTCCAGAAAACATACATTATATCCAATGCAGGCACAGGAAAGCAACTCAAATGGACTGGCTCTAAGCCCTTCTGCCCTGGCTTGACATTAGAATAGATGGTAATGTGCAGTTTTTCATTAGAAGGGGAAAAAACACACCAGTTTCTAGTATCTTTATTGAGAGAAAAACAGAAAAGCAGATTTACTTGACCAAGAGCCTGGGACCTCAGCTGCAAGGTGAAAGCCAGAGCGTGGATATCCTGAGGGGCTTCTATTTTTCTTCAGCTTGTTCCATTGCCCATTCCACTCAATTACCTTTAAATAACAGCTATCTCTACAGCCTTTTTGGCCCCATTCCTGATTCCAGCAGCCTCTGATTCATTCACACATTATAGCTGGAGTCCCTGGACTGTGGAGACTTACTGACAGATTTAACAGTTATGGAGAAATGGTCAAAGTAGATGCTGGAGAAGGGTTTTACTAGACACATTTACATTTACAGACAGATCCTCAGCTAACAGGAATCAGAACTGAGGTAATCTTGACCTTGTATCAAACTACAAACAACGGAATGATTTTAGAGTAAGTGCAGGTTCCTGCAGGCATGACAATAATACTTAAAGTTCAATGCAAAGCACTTTCTGCTCTTGGGAAGGCATGTGATATAACTGAACCAGAAAATTTTAATTCTTATGAGTTATTAAGAATACTGCCTGTTTGATTTCATTGCAGTGATTGTAAGCCTGCTAAACATATTTGAAATTTTGCAAGGGTTCAGAAAGAACTTCTAAATTTCCTGTGAACATTTCCATGCATGTGCATTCAGGAAGATGTCTAAAAGCATTTGTAAGTGACACAAATAGAAAATATTAAAACAATTAAAGAATGTGCTCCATTAGTTTGCTCTGACAGCCATGATGCTACAATTGGAGGTTTCTGATCAAAACAAAAACTCTTCATCCTGTTTGCATCTATGGACATCAACACCAGGACAGGAAAACACAAGTCTTTTGGAGTGTTGAACTTTCAGGGGAGTCAACGGACATATGAAGGAATCAACAAATGTTCTCAGAGGTGTGCTGAGATCTAGCACTTCTACAAAATGTGTGCATAAATCTCTCAGCTGTGGTGCTGTTTCTCTCAGTAAATTTTCCACTTGGCTTTGGAAAGGACACTGATCAGCATTGTTTTTATAGTTAAATCTACGTCTATTTCCATTTGAGCACAGAGAAATGGTTGTTCTTGACTGTGCTGCTTTTTGCTCCTTAGGCCTGGCTGTCCAAGACAAGTCTGTAAGCAGAGAGGCATCTACAAACACTAAAGAGAAGGACTGCCTCCCAGGCAACCAGTGCTCCTCATGCTTGTGTTAGCAACCAACTTCCACCAGGATCGCCACACAGGATGAGCTACACCTTAATATCTACCTGTCCTATTAGCCCACTGCAAGGACCTGACGGGTTTATGCTCCATTATCGACACTCACTAGTTGAAAGCAGTAGTTCCAGTTAAAGAGGAAAGGACAGTACAGGCAGATGGGACAGGAGCTGATAAACAACACAGGAAGCAAGGCCAGCCCATGGTGCTCCACATCACATTGCCAGGACTGAGAACAGGGGCTAAGACTGCACCCAAGTGGTTTTGGATGGTTGAACAGGTCCAGTGGAGCTTGTTAGTGCAGTGCCACCCCTGATGGGGCCACAAGCACAGCCATCAGCAGAAGGGAGAAGGAAGAAAGGAAGTTGCCTCTGAGTGAGGGCTGATGAAGATGTAACAATCATTTCATGTGCTGGGTTAGGGGAAGAGGTGTCAGGCACGGCGAGAGGTGGAACATCACCAAATCTCTCAGGCAAAGTGTGTGCAGGAAGGCTGGGTACATTGCTCTGAGTAACAGGCAAACAGATGGCTAGAAGAGACTCCAAAGCACACTAAGGCAAAAAAGCAATAGCAGAGCTGTGATAAACCCCCAGGTTTCCTGAATCCCAATCTGGTGCCCTATCCCAGCGACAATGCCGCTTTGCACATCTCATTAAGACATTTCCTTTACTGTCTGTACAGCCAATGCCTCAAAATCCCAGCATCTTCTGTACTTCAAACTGGACCATTTGGAAATGGTCCTAGAGTCTGAATTTGAGTCCCTAACTGGTTTGACTTGGGTATAGGGAAAATGATTTATTTTTCTTCAGGAAAAAGCTGTAATTAGGCAGATCTGTTAACTACAGAGGTATATGTTTCCAGTCTAAAAAAGAACTTTGGGTGGTTTCACAGATTGGTCAGGCATTGACATTTATGGTGAAGCTTGGACTACATCAGACAAAAGTGCCCTGTCTCCTAAGCTGTGGTGAGAGTCAGTTTCACTGGGCCCATGTCAGGAATTGCCTCATAAATGAGGATCACTTGGCCATGAACTTGGTTAATTCCCTTTTGACTCAGAAAAATGACTGATTAGAGTTTACCCAGTTCATCTGCTAGATTTTTGGTGGGAAGAACTGACAGCTTTTCTTATGTTTATTTGCTTTGTGATTCTAAAGAGATCTTAGCATCCCTCACATGCCCTGAGAGAAATGCTGCAGGAAAAGCCCTGAGCTTTGTTCTGCTCTGCTGTGGCATGAGAGAGAAACTGTACCAAAGCAGAAGCATCATGAGAGCAGCAACAGCAGCAGTGCACAGGTCTACATTAGCAAAAACAGCAGACTTATCCCCAGGTGCCCACACTGTTCCAAGGAAAGCTACACACATACCTCATTGTTAGCCACATGCCAAGTGACTCCTTAGAAAGAGCCATGCTCCTTCCTTGCAGGTCATATAAGGCTGGTGGCCCAGAAACAGGTCCCTATTACTAAAGGAAGGCCAAGTGACCCAAAGTGCTAATGAAAGAGAAAGATGAGAAAGCTACTGATTGACAGTGAGCCTAGAAAGCACATTTCCCCACTCTATCTGAAAGAGATGCTCCTACTACCATCGTAACAGAAGAGGACTAATGCTAGTAGTGAACCCAATCTAGTATTAAATGAGATACCTGAGATATCATCACCAGAGCAGTTAAGGCAATGTAAGGGTTAACTTCAGCAAGAACATGTAGGTATAAATACTGAGTTTGTGCTGAGCTCCATGCTACTATCACAAGGCTGTAATAGATATACAGACTATGTCAGCCAGGTCTGTTTTTCCATGCAGACACAGCAACCACAGTCTAGACCACATATTCTTTGGGCAGGAATCCTCCTAAAGCAGCAACTTAATATACCCAAATTCCCACTGCTGCAAAGCTGCTGCACGTGCTGCTTCCTGGATTTATCATGTTGCAACATCAGCAGATAACATGACCAAAGGGAGAGAGACACGATCATCTTCAATCCTTGAGAAAGAGGGGATGTATACAGAAGATGTACAAAGGTGAAAAGTAATAGCAGTAAGAATAACAACTGTAGCAGTCCAGCCATCTCATGCTTACATTGCAGCCTGCTTGTGATTTAGCCCAAAGTGCCTACCTGAGCCGTAGCAGCTATCGTGCAGGCAACGGTACATCTGCAATAATTTCACATCAAAATCCTAAGTACCCTTTTTTGATGCTGCTG